CCATGAGATTATTTGCCTCAGCAGCGTCTATCACAACTGCAATGGAAAATCGGTCACCAATTATTATAAGCTCGTAGGACCGCTTGAAATGTACCAGAGATATTTTATTCCTAGAAGAATTCCTATCATTTTATTCCTTCTTTGACATCACTTTGCACTTGAAGCAAAAGTGACATCTCTCTCACCACTAGAATAGCAACTAGAAGCCTCTTATTTACCTGTTATTAAGTAGAATATATGAATAGCTTGTTGATTGCATAGCCCAATGACAATGCTTTGGAGATAGACCACCAAGCATATGTCCATTTTGAAATAAAAAGGATTAAGCATACCTGACTCATCTAGTCAAGTAAAATATGTATGAAGCTCAGTCATATGATCGATCAAATCATCTTTGGAATAAATCAAGCTTGAAACTGCCATTTTCCAATACCCATGCGACTTGAAAAGGTTCCCCATATTTTGGCACCATCTTTTATAGTTGAGAGTGTTCAGGTTCCCAAATTTGTCAATATCTCTAGACATAGAGATTTTGAAAATAAGGGAATATAACCTTACATTTAAACCGCTTTTATTGCTAATGTTATTGTGATTTTTTTTCATAGCTAGCATACTTGCTATACATAAGCTATACTCATTTGTCTCTACATTCACCAGTTATTGAAGATTAATGTAAGTAATGAAATATTATTTTACAGAGATTACTATGAAATGGGTTATAAAAATTAAATTACGGTAATAAATGTGTTCAAGATAGTCATTGTACATAGTACTTTGATCTTGTTCATAATTGGATTGCTCCTGCCTATGGTTCACAATTATTCACAGGCTCAACGCCTATGTCCTTAAATTCCAGTAATGCGTATTTCTTCTAATACCAATTTTCCAAACAACTCTAAATAACATACACAAAATGCTCCGCACATGGATATCTGAATTTCTTTCTGTGAATAGTGATAGAATTTTCACTGAATTGGTAAATGTCTCGGGAATCGATTACACAAATCATATTGGTCATCCTAGGCGATGCTATCCCGATAAGTGATGAGATGTAAACGACCTCCAAAAAACCCTTCAAATTAACACCAATTGTGAAAGTTTCTAATGCAAATTATAGTTAATCAAACTATACACCTTTCAATCTAAATAATTCTTTCACTTTATAAAAACCCCACTGGATTTCAATTTTAGTTTGTCCCTTATACTAGGTGTTATGATTAGTTCCCTCCAATCTTGAGACTTCTACCCACAGGAATTGCATCAATAAAATAAAGATTGTCACATTTTTGAATTGAGACGCTTGGTTGAGATCAAACTCCCAATTTTATACAACAATTTGGACCATGAGTGACACGCGTTGTTGATATATTTCTGAATTTCCACTGGATTTAACGTCTCTTTGGATAAACTTCTGCTCATGTGTGCGTTTATAGTTTTTTAATTCATGGATGATGATGTTATTTAATCCCCTTTTTCTTTCCTGTGAGAATGCCGCTCAGAGGATGTTTACTTTATCTCAATAGCTTTCATGTATTCATTTGCTTTACCTAAACCTGTTTGGAAGAAAACTTCATTGTTTTCTAAGGAGAACACGAGCTGACACTCCACCAAAGTGATACAGTTTGATACAGGTCTGAATCAAGACTCTCATCGATAAGTCCAAGAGACTCCCAACATCCGCAATAGCTGTCAATTGGCTCATGAAGTTTAAGTTGAAGAAAAGATCAGAGGAAAAGTCTACTGAGTCTGGACTTAAATGACGTAGGTTCTGATTTCCACGGGTTTTTTCTTGTTTTGAATTAGGATACTGAAGATGAAGACGTTGAAATTTCATCACAGTGTTGAACAGTGAGAGTAGTGTATAGATGCATGGGATGTATCCATCAGGGAAAATGGTGATGAAATTTAAAACAAACAATGCATTTGATTTACTGCACTCAAAAACGAAATATTATCATCGACCATTAAGGTGCCAAGCTATCAACAGCAAGTGATTAATTTAATCCTTCAATATAGTGAATTGTAGAGACTAAAATTCACTCCAATAGTTATTCTTCAATATTTTGATCAATCAGTGGTCATAGGTCAATTATATATTTGAAACCTGAGTCAACTCGGACACTAAAAAGTAGAAAATCAACTTGTACTTGTACACTTGTTTAACACATCCTCATTGAAAGTAAGTAAAGCAATCAACCCTCGCAGATATTATTCAAGCTCAAAGAAATAATTGCCTTAACATGCTTTGCATGACATTAAATCTAAATAATCATTAGAACTGTGTAGACAAACAAAAATGGATAAGGTTGTAACTGATGTCAACGCGTGTTTTCAAATGCCCCGTGTGAGTGAAACCTCGTAGGGCAACCTATTTTGACGCAGCTTTTGATCAAGACGATCTGATATTTTAGCAGAAGCCTGAAGTGATAACCATCGGGATACCGGAGGATCATGCCTAGTTTAAGTGCAACAAAATAGAAGTTATAAGCTGACGAGCAACTTTGTGGGTAATAATGAATTGAGCGCATGGGACCATTCCACAAGTCAGCACTTTGAGTCCGTGATTATAGATATATTACTCTAATATTCTCTGTACTGAGAAAAATTTCATCTTCAATTTATTAAAGTCGTTACTTCTTAAACCAATGGAAAATTTTCTGATAGTGATCAAATATTTAAACATATATACACTTGTTATACAATTTTACGACAAATCTTATCTGAAAAAATTAATCAAAATTGTTAGTATACAAATATTCAATGAACGTGTCATATTTTGATTTATGATACAGTGAAATTTCAAAAACATTTGAAAATGATATTTTATTTTTGTACTCTATATTGATATTCCTAACCATGCTCAAGAAAAGAAATATGAAATTGACAAAACGAATATAAAATAGACAACGCGGTGCTGGTATCGAAGTATGAAATCAAATTCATATTAAACTTGCAATTCACTCTTACAGAAAAAGGTGAGAGGAGAAGAGTGTGGGGCAGGTTCAGAAGCCTTTCGCACATTCTATCATGCAACCCTCGCCTGGAAGTGCGACGAAATTCTCACAGTGTATCTGAAGATATATGATGCAGTAGGTGGATTCCACCAAGAGTCGCGAAACAATCAACTACTAAGATAGCAGAGCCGTGTCGGCAATATAGAACGTTTACTAAGATTGAAGACTCGGGTGACATGTCATGCTTCATTAGGATAGACCAGCTCCAGAGACGTGGGACAGTCATTCTTGCACATAAATCTCTCAGGATTGTTGATCGATATATTACAATGTTGCCCATGCTGGCATTCTGATGGCTCAACGAACAGTTGCTAATTTATTCCAGTTTCAGCAACTTTTATGAAATTTGCTGAATATGCAGTCTTTTATCTTCACAGCGATTTATCAAACCATGAAATGGTATTGGAATAATTGATTTTAAGAATTAGCAGATATTTAACTTCAAGTATCAGCTCCATTTTCAGTTGTAACTAGAATAGTCTCTATTGCGAATTCTGAACCGTATTCTCGAGCTTGACAGCAAAATACTGTGAATGGTCTTGCCACCAGGTTCTTGAACCCTGGATCTGAGATATTGAATAAATGCATCAAATGTCTATGTATCCCAAATATGAAACCATCGGATGCTGAGTTAAAAGTTGCCAGAGAATGCTGTACTTGCAGATCATGTGCAAGTGCAATTTTTGTTAACTTTTAAATTTGTTCTGAATCAGAACTATACAATTTCCTGATTCTGAAATCGTACAGCTCTGATTCATATTTTTCTTGATTGAATCTAAAAACGGCCATAAGGGCTGGTGGTAACATAGATTCAGCTGTCTCCTGGAATTCAAGAGTCTTCATTCGATCAGATTAGATCATCGAGGTGACTTTGATGTATGAAGTTGTATAATGTAACATGCAGATTAAACAGGAAACCACTTATTATTACTTAGAGATCATCTATCACCAGAGTATCGCAAACGGGGGTCATAATAAAGCGTGTCCAAAGCCAAGGCTGGTGGGTAGAAGAACAAATACAAAATAAAAAACAGTCTAAACATGGACGGCGTCTGGAATTTATCAAGTTATAATTTGGTTACCAGGTCTCTAAACATTAAGCTTGCAGATCTTTCTTTTTTGAAAGAAAGTGGAGTCTATAATTAAACGAGCCCTAGTAGTACGAAGAGAGGGTTTTGAAGATTGAGACCACTTCCTAGTCCTACTGCTTCTTATCTTCAGTTGAAATTATTCTTTTCACAAAAGATGATGAGAACAAAGTCTCACTCTTTGGATTTCTATGCCTGTCTTGAAAAGCTTGAGCTTCGTAAAACCCATTGAAAATATTTCAGCTAAAGTGCTGAACCAGGTAGAGAAGAATTAGGAACATGGATGGAAGCCTAAGGACCTCAAAGGATGCTGAGCTGAAAGACTTAATATCCACTATTCAGTGTCTGACAACTGGCTGCCTGCCAGTTGTCAGTTCATTCTAAAAGTGCAAAGTCGATTTTATTTTGAATCAGGTGGACAGATACGGTCCAGCTGACGTGTCTGAGATGGTTCCCAAGTCAACCTATAGTACTGCAGCTACGTACATCTCTTCAAGTCAAACCAAACACGGCAACTAACACACGACCCACACTGCGATACATATCAGTGATCCCATCGGCCACACAACGAACAAGAAAACTGAATGTGATCGGTAGAATACGACCTCTCTGACGCAAATTACCACATGTGAAATTTAGAATTCTCCAAGAATCTGATGAAAGTCTCAGCAGAATTTCTTGGGCAAGACGACAGCAGCAAGCTGAACGAGTTTAGCCTGCTGCTGTCGATGCGCTTCCGATTCATTTCACCCAAAAGGTAAGAAAAACCTGAAATACGAAATGGTAACTTGTAATGATTCGTAAGACGTCACTTGGTGTAATGCAGCACGAGATGGAAGATTGAATCGACTACACTCAGAAGAACACTTCTAGTTTGCTTTGTCCAACCGCCTGGTGCACCCTGCGACCTGGTCCCAGTTCACGGACGATACAGTAGCCGGTCGGCCCAAAACCTGCAGCAGGCTGCAGTCCAGTTGGATTTTCGTCGTTCGTCGTGGTCTAGCGGTCCGACAAGATCCCCTTCGCCAGAGGTTGTCTGAACAGGCGGGCGGGCGTGCATGTGACGTCTGACCGTTCGTTTTAGCACATTCTTACAAACTCCTCCCGAAGGGAGTTCAGCAACGACCGATAATAGAGCTCATGGATAGGATGCAACTCGATCTCCACCGCCCATGGTGGGCTCCGATCCAAGGGCTGCGTTCGAGCTCGTGGGGGTAGACAGGTATGCTGGTCTACGAAGAGCATGCGTACTTTGAATGCAAACGGCGATTACCAAAGCTTAGTACCCGCTTAAACAGCCTTACCTGCTCGTATCAGCGAGGAACTTATGGTTTCCCGCCCGATCAGGCGGGCGGGGAGGTTTGCATAAAAGGGCGCAGATGAATGAATGGAGCTCATGAAACTTGCTCCTCGGTCTCCTCACGGACCTACTCCGATCTGCTCTGCAACTGGATCGGATGCAGAGTGCATAAAAAAGTTTGAGATTGCAGCCGACTTCGTGCGGTCCTTTTCTGTATTGAAGAGCAGAAGTGTTTCGTGCCCCCACCATCCGCCTTGCAGTCACTCTGGCGTGGTGACGATGTTGTGATCGTTCGTTGGAAAGGAGTCGTGATCCACAGCTGCCGTTCGTTCCTTGAGTTCTGCCTGAGGCTGGTCGGTCGGGAGTTCTTAAAGGCTTCCTACGACAGACGAATTGCGTGAGCGCTCGTAGACTGCTAAAACACAGCGATGATGGGATTGACCAAGCACGGAAGTGCTCATTTAGGAGCGCTTTCCACCGTGCATTCGACGTTGCCTTCTCGTCGTTCAGACTTGGACTCTGCTAGAGCGGTGCCGCCCGACATGAACGGATCGGCGGGGCTCGATCCCAAGCGAGGGAAAAGCCCCGACGCCGTCGACGCTCTGCCCACTCACATCATCGAAAAGATCGTATCATTGATTCCCTTTCCATCGCTGCTCACGGCTCGCGCGCTGTCGAGCTACTGGTTCTCGAGCTTCTCGTGGGAGCCGCCTCATTATTCATCGCTCCAGGAGCAGGTCCGGTCCGTGTCCAGAAACTGGACGACCTTCTGCCCGACGTTTGTCACCAAGGATCACGAACTCATAGGCTTCGACAAAGTCCGGCAGCAGTGGACGAGCCTGCTTCCGCTCACATACTTCCCGCTTCAGAGTAGCGTCTGTCAGTTCTCGGGTTACGGCAGCTCGCTGGAGGGCCCTCTGCTGTGCGCCAACGTCAATGCCGGGAGCTGCTGCTCGCTTCTTGAAACGTACTTCAAAGTCGACCTGTTCATCACGAACGTCATCACGCGAGAATGGAAGATTTTGCCACCACGTCCGGTCATGCAGCACCCCACCCACGTCCAGGTCCTGCCCTCTTCGACCGCAGGAGGCTACAAAGTCCTGACGCTCACGCATCCCGTCTCGTCCGAATTCGAAGAGGGCGGATCAGACCTGATCCAGATCTACGACTCGGGCCGGGACGCCTGGGAGCTCGTCCCGACGGACGTCACCAGCTCATACCTCGAGGATCTGGGCGGCGTTTTTCTGAACGACAAGTATTATGTTCTGTACAGGAATGAAGAAATCGCCGGCCTCGGCCGGAACGTGGTCATCGAGCACATAACGGTGTATGACGTCCACGGAGGGCTGTGCAGGAGGATTGTTCTGGACTCTCTGCCTCTGAATCCCGGCAACCTGGACTACGAGTTCGGGATCGTCAAGGTGACGGGCTCGGTGATGTTGGTGGTGGTGGCGAACTCGTTGAGTGTGGACGAAGAGCACTCGGCTTGCCCAATGCATCACCACAACTTCGGTGAGATGGCCATCCGGTGCGTCTCGGCCAACAGCATCATGGTGTTCGAGCTGAACCCGGAGACCGGAGATTTCAAGCCGGTGGCCACCGGGCCTCCCTGTCTGGCGAAGAACGTCTCCGTCGATCAGATGATCGGTCACGAGTCGCGCATCTACTTCGCGGGATGCGTCCCGCACTCCTCCGTGCTGTTCTACGACCTCCAACAAAACCAGTGGGGCTGCCTCCCGAAGCCGATGGTCGGAGTCTGCTCGTCGCACAGCATCGCCTACTGCTTTGCTTTCGAGCCTGGCCTGGATCCGTTCGTTCGAGTGTGACGAGTGCACCGCTTCGATCTGCCTCCATCGACCCGCATGGGCCGAAATCTGCGAATTCCTTCCTGCCTCTGGGAGTTGCCACGAAGTCTAGCTGCATACTGTACTGGTATTTTTATCTGCCGTATCATTCTATTCATCCGTATATGAGAATCATCTACTCTACGTATACACGGTTCACGTATATCTCCAGTTTCATGAGTTTGATCCCTCTTGATTAAATAATGTACGCTTTTCTCGAGGTTTTTCCTTCATCGTTTATGAATGATCCGAAGAACTATGTGTTGAATTGAAATTTGATGTTAGACTCCTTCAGCGCAAGAGAATTTAAAATTGCTGGACTTATCGGTGGAATTTAAGACCTCCGGGAGATCGAGATTGGACATTGGAGTCAAATTGCACCAGTTCCAGAGAGTGAGGGAGAGAACTATGTATGAAGGCATCAAAGGACGACCACATATGTATTACAGTATCCCATGTTGTGACTGGTCCGGTTACAAGTTTGGTGTATTAATCGATGATTTTGTTAACTTCATGCGTCCTGATTTCATTGATCCAGATTTAAGAAGTCTAATGTGGTGTATATATGATTCACCAACGCTGAATAATAACGCGCGGCTTGAAACGTCGGTCCTTGATGTATGTGAAAACAAATACTCAAGGGTGAGGTTTCTTTCATTTTGCAGGAATAACCTGGATCTGTCAGTATAAACCAAGTATATTCAAAGAGAAAATCTTAACGCTGAAATATGAATCACCAAAAAAAACTCAAGGGCAGAAAGTTTATAAACTCAAAGCTTCTGAAGATTAGCATATTGATGACACATACTAACTTGATAATGAAAGATAAAAAGAAGTTAATCTTCGGTTTGGTAATCGATTTTATGATATATATATATATAGAAAATTGTCCTTGGCCTGACATGTATCAAGTCACACGTTGGCTTTTTGGACACTCAGTGCTCACAACTTCAGAGCTTCTCTCAAATTCTCTCCGTTCTTTCGTTTTGTGTTTTCCACACCATACGTTCGTTAGGTGGATAACTGAAGTTTCAATTGTGGACCGCCGTTTGGAATATTTGCACCCGTTTGTAATGCGAATGTTTAGATCTGTAAGTCTTCTTAGCTTGCTACATTCGTAAATTTAAACCCTTCTACTCCTCTAAATTGCAAATATTTAAATTTAATTTAGTACAAGCCGTCATACAGAAAAGCAGTTCAGTTAGAAATGTATTTTATTAAGTATATTCTTCCGCGATAAGTGTTATTCTTTGACAGCTACTATCCTATTCCAAAACCATGTACACGAGTGTCTACGTTTCAATCCTAACATAAGACATTTCTATGACGTAGCAGTTGTTATTCTGAGATAGCTCATACTTTATATTCCGATGCGATATATTAGGAAGAGTACAGAGTGTTTGGAGTTGAATACATTCGCTCATGGCATGGGGCTGTCTTTGTTTTGTAATAGTCGAGAACCTTGTTCTCAAGTTCCCAGGCATGTCCACTTGCAAACTATATTTTTCAAAATTGCCCCAAAATCATTGTTGGTGGCGTTTACTCCTCGCTGACTTCAGTCGGAGAGGTTAAGATAGCTGCAATACATAACTTTTCAGACTCAGCAGATGCATCTGAAGGAATTTATCCTGCTGTAGATCCATTAGATTCAACTTCTACAATGTTACAACCTTGGATTGTAGGTGAAGAACATTATGAAACTGCCCAGATGTAAGCCTAGATGTGTCTCTTGCATTCGGGCGGTAAAAACAAAAATTTCTCAGATAATTAAATATTTCGTTTTTATTCTTCTATTCGCTTGCCTGCGTACAATACTGAAATGACGTGTCTTCTGCTTTATATCCTCGCGCTAACAAACTACCTATTTGAACAAGTTTGAGCAAAAGAGATCGTGTGTAGACGCTAAAGATTCATATATACTGGTGAAACTCACTCACTTAGCAGCCAATTGACTTTTATGGGTGTGCCTCAAAGAAAATCTCTTTGCCAACACCTACCATAATGCTTCGAGCACAATTGTAGCAACTATCATAGAAACGTACGAGACTGGACTCTCGATTCTAAGATGATTTGCATCATGCTGATTGATTGTGCACGACGATCTCCCTGTAAGCCTTTTAGCTACGGCGGTACTTTTTCCTGTCAAACTTTGAATAGCTTCTGGTGACCCTTGAAATAGACATGTAACAAGCATTTGAAAACCCTTGAAATCCAGTCAGCCATGTCAAAAGGTATCCTGAGACTTCTCTCGATATGTATTGCTTCCTTAACGCGCGCATTGATAAAATTTCGTTTTCTCAAGAGTGTTATTACTGAACGTGACATGGCCAATGCAGAATTAAGATCTGTCTGCGACAGCAGACTCTTGAACTCTCTTGTATTGGGGAAGCGCTGGGCCGAAACCAGGGCGTCAAACTGTGCAGATAAGTTCAAAATTGCTTGCTGGAGCTGAATCATTGTGTGGATTCTCCTGACCAGGACAGAGCAAGTAACTTGTGAAGCTTCAACCTCACATTGTCACACTCTGGGAATTTTCGTCCAGGACTTAGAAGCATACTTGATAACTATTCCGCAACAATTACCCACCACTCCTCCATGCCATGCCCAGCTCTCAGACTTGAGCCCAGAGAACCTTAAAAGTGACCATTTTTCTGGAAAAAAGAATTGAAGGTTACAACATCTTCTTTATCATAAGCATCTTCATAAGCACTCGAGTTCATACTCTCCTTTAACCTTAATTAATTCCTTCCGGACAAAATACTCTCCATGATTTCATAGATGGAGATCCTGTGCAGCAGGCTCCCAGGAAAAATTCTGCGTGTGCTTGGAACACTCTCGAACTCATTCCAGACAATTGTTTGGAGCACTCCCTTGCTGCACTTACAGCACTCCTGACCGAACTTTCAAATATTACTCTAAAATCTCCTTAACAATTGGAAACCGCTTTCCTTCTCCTTGCACTTACTGCACCATCCTTCCGACCAAGTGATGGCCAAAAGCTCAGACAATTACAGACCCTCTTTCTGATCTCTCTAAAGCATCCACTCGCTCACATGAGTAAGATAGAAATGCTATTCTCACTCTGAAGATATGTTTGAAACCATTCGACTTCCTCTACGGAATTTAGCTAGAGATAACTCCACATCTATTTGAGAAAGATCGGTCAGGGTCTTTGGAAAACTGAATTTACTAAAACATTCTAAGCGGACATTGACTATGGATGGATTCTCAAACTTATGATTTGAAATTTTCACACTGGACTAAAATACAACACAATGCCTTCATAATGGGCAAGGCAAATTATCGAAAGCAAAGCAGTTACAACTTTTCTGCAAGACTGGCAACCAACATCAAATATGACTGTTTGATGTATTAATTACAACAATCCTACTTTTTAATCATTATGCGTAGACGCAGAAGAAGCTAAATTCTTATTATTTTCACACTGTGCAATCTCAAACTAATTATGATTGTTATATAGTTTTCTAGCATGAACTTGGTGTTGTGGAATAATGATTAAAGAAATCATATTTCATAAAAAAAAAATATTTCAAAGAAAAATTACAAGTAGCATAATGTTCAGCAACATCAAAGTAATGCACTAATCATTTGCATAAGTTAAATCAGATCCAGAAGTAATTTTGTAAATCCTTATAAATAATTCTTGTGAAGTGATGTCATGAACATAGTGTATAATAATTATTTTGATCATTCACATAAATTTTATTTGGATTGCAAATTTTGTTGCTAAATTTTAAGAAAATAACTTAAATTTGCTTCACAATAGGATTTTAAAAATTGTCTAAAAAATATTTGAATCACAAGATGTTGTAGGCAATGTAACGCTAAAAAACATAAATATTTAAATTGCACAAATGATTGAATCTTGAAATTGATTTTTTTTTCATATATATATATATATATATATGAAAAATTTAATTTACGTAGATTTCACTCATAGATCACTCATTTTGTCTTTATAATCTTTTCGTTTTGTGTCATGTGTGTGTATATATATAACCTCATGATTCAAATCAGCATAATGATAAAAAAAACTCAAAAGGAAAATGTAATACATAAATTTGGAAACAATTTTTTGTGTTTAAATATATATAAATTCAAAAAAAATTCAAGCAATGAAAAAGAAACATTTTCAAAATTGATTATTTGATAATTCAATAGTATTTTTCAATTTATTTATTTTAGATTAAATTTTTGAAAAAAAATTAAAATCATTTAAGATTGAATTCTCATATTTTTTAATATATTTCATCATTATATACATAAATCAAAAAATCACATAAATTATTTATGCACATAAAGATTAAAAATTATTTATAAAAGTTATCAATTGAATTTAAATAAAAAAAATTATGTAACATACATATATTATCAAATATTAATTTTATACATCGCATTGTTGCATAAATTTCCTACGCATTTCCACATCGCACATACACTCTCCACTGTGTGAGACATGTGTTTTGTTATTATAATCTACGTTCCTGGATCATCAAAGTAATTTATTGATAAATTTGTAAAATATCAACAAGAATTTTTGTGAGCTTTTTAATATAGTGGCAGTTTAACCTAAATTTTAAAATAAAATTAAAATAAAATTCATCCACATTATCATAAGACCTGAATTAACATCTAACAATATCAGACTTAATTTTTGTTTTGAAAACTGTATACTTTATAATCTATATAATCATTCCATAAGTAAATCTAAATAAAACCTTACATAGAATACTATTTAAACTATAAGTAACTTGCAAACAATTTTCAAAATAAAATGACATATGATTTTTCTAGTAAATTTTACTTGTGTTACTTATGCAAACCTCCAAAATAACACAATGTGTGCTAAAACTCATAAAAAAATAACTTTGTTTGATGCATTAGCTGAATTGAATTTAATGTTAATCTTGACTAACTCAATTTATATTGATGTGTCACACTATATTGTACATCATTTGATTTGCATCAATATATAATGCATTTTGACTTTCACGATGAAAATTCACAAACTATTATTTCAATCTCATCTTAATGATATATCTACTTACTTAATTAGTTTTTTTTGTTACTTTTGTTATTGTTACATATTCAGTTTTTGCTGTAAACTAAGCTACAAAATTTTGCAATGTAGATCTTCAATTAATTTATCCATCTATGTATATAAACACATATTCATCTGTAGGTATATTCTTGTCTAAATTTTTTCCACAGTCAGCATAACCATCATCAGCATCAGGAAGATTTCAAGATTGTCAAATAAGACAATCTTGAAGATTTCATAATGTTTACTCTTGATGCATCTAAAAATTTATTTCACAACTTTTCAATGCACGTTATATGCATATGATTGATATATATATATATATATTCAATTTGGCCATAGTTTAAGCAATGTCAGATCTCGTGCATGCATAAGGTTGTTCACTACCATAAGATTGTCTATCCACTTATTATTAATAGGATTCTAATTCTTTGAACATTTTATTATATACAACAATTATATATCAAATTCCATAGCAACATTTCACTCGAGACAAGGGGTTTGAGTTTTTATTTTTAAAAAAAGGTTTTATTTTTTCAATGTTATCATCATTCTCAATTTCAGAATCATAATTTCAAAAAGAATGTATGAATCACAATAAAATTCATATCTTGTAGGAAATCTTCTAATTCGATTTGATGATATCTTAATAAGCAATTTTGGTTGATTTTCTTATTTAGAAGCCTGAGGCTCATCAACAATACCCTCCTCATCCAAATCATATTCTTCAAAAATTTGCTCTATTTGTATTTATGTATCTTTTTTTTCACAACCTTGTCACGCTTTAATTCATTTCTTTTTGAAGAAAAAAATTAAAATATTTGCTAGACAAGAGCTCTAAACTGCTTTACAATTTTCCAAGATGCATGGTATCGAAAAAAAAAATCATCATTCTTTATATACAATATATGCGAGAACCAAAAAAAACTATCCTTGTCATCTTCCAAATAAGGTTAAATTAATTTTCAAATTTCAAATCATTTGCAAAGTTATGATTAGTATTCAAATTACAAATTGATTGTTAAAACCATCATAGCCGCCACATCAAGGTCACAAAAAAAATATTTAACCCTTAATTTTGTAATAGAAATTTAGTTAGCACAACATTATGGAGAACGCGGTCTACTACAATGTGAAAAGTACGAGCACCTGCGTTGTTCTGCCTCCGCTCAGTTATAGTTGTTTGGGTAAAGTATTTTAAAATGTAATGTCAAAATCCGCCTGCCCGCTCGTGAGAGAGTTTGCTTCTGCTGACAACAATAGTAACACGGTAGTCGATGCTGCAGCCCGTTTTTCCAGGTTAGGAAAACGAGAAAATTGTAGTGGACAAAGCCTCGATCGAATCGAATCACTGACTTTGGCAAATTTGTCAATGTAAATTACGCTGAGCAGCAATGCTTAACTAGAGGACGACTCTTTGATAACAGACTTTCTAACTACTGTCCTCGATGGCGTTTGATTCTAGACTGTCGATTCATGGAAGTGAGAGGTGTAGTAGTGCCAGCAAGGAGATGAGATGCAGATGGGATTGTGCAAGCATGATTCTTACTTAAGGTATTCTTCTGCAGGGTAAATATTGAAATTTAGAAAATCTTTTGCGAGGCGGATGAGCTCGAGCCATGGCAACAGAAAATCTTGCTCCAATCTACCCACCCAACTTCGAGGCTGAAACCCTGTTGATCATGTCTCCGGCGGATGAGCACCCTTCTTCTCCTTCTCCTGCAGGGTCTTTCTCGGAGTTTATGACTGGTTTATTACAGTCTTTGCTCTCCAACGAGAACCAGCTGGGCTGTCCTTTTACTCGTGAATTTTGTGTTGCTCTTTTGCGCACTGACGATGTCGGATATGGAAATGAAGGTATCTCTTTGACTCTCTGCCTCCAGCTGCATTTTACTCGCTTTCGTATTTTGAGTCTCTCTGCCACTATATTTCCTTCATAGGCACCGGAAAGTGGTTGCCTTATCTGCCCCTGTTTTGATTTGAGTTTCCAATAGAGTGACTTATTCCCTCTTCCAACATTTGACTGGAAATCACAAAGCTAATTCGTATAAGCAGAGTTTGTATAATCGTACACAATAGGGAGCCCGACTGTCTGATAAATAATGTTGCTCAGTCTAATATATCATACGCCTTCCTATTGTCTGTAAACGGTCTGAATACAGCCTGGTTACAAATTGTGGTGCAAGTCCAGGAAACGAGGAACCTTTTTCAGAAAAAGGAGTTCCAAAGTATCCTTTATACAAATACATAGGACGTGGTCTTTCTGAGTGGATATCCACTGGTAAGTTCTCCAGAACGATGGAACCAATGGAAGGTATATCAGAGGATGAAGGCACATCTGCAAAAATCGAAGGCTGGACTAAGAAGGTGGTGGAAATTGGAGTTCATTTGAAGGAGGTAAGCTAAAGTCGCAGTAGATATACTTTTTCCATCCAACATGTTACACGCTTTTTTGTCACAAGAAAATTACATGCTGCAAGTGAATTGGGAATGGCACAATTTAACCCTTGGCCCTGCGTTGCCATTAGTAACCTGTCTTGTATGAATTATGAATGTGTATAAACGATATGTCTCTGCATTTTGAAAGCTATCTTGTCTGTCGCATTTCCGTACAGTTACTGCTCAATATAGAGGATATGATACTTTAGAATAGATAGCTTGAAGCAGGCAGCGAGGGCTATCATTCTGGATTGATGCCCTTTATCTTTATGCTTAGAAGGACCAGATACTTTCGTATCTGGTCATTTATCTGGACAGATCATTTACTTTCGTTTTCATTGCGCTAAAGAGACGACTTTTCTCCGTCGCTGTTTTGCAGCTTAGTCAAAAAGTGAGGTTTCGAATGCACTGTCAAGAACCATATTTTTCTCAGCTGATAGGTAATACGATCGAATTAAGGTAGTACGATTTTTGGAAGTGTTTTGAGTTTTAGGTACACTGAATTGTCACCCTGTTGCATCAATGTGCTGGATCTATCTAGATTGAAAGATGTTAAATCCTTTACTGTGCCTTATTATCTTTTCTTACCTCAGATGGGATGAAAACTGTAGAGGGAAGATGTGCAAGCGGTGAATATAGCAAGTGAGTATTTCTTCGCATGTATTTTCTCCTTATGTGCTCTTCTCTGATAAAAAGATGTTAAGGCATTACTAAAAATGAAACTAAAATACACAGGAGGCAATCACTAAGTCTGTGTACGTTATTAACTTCTCTTGTTCATCGTCCTATTGTCTTACATGCTTCCTACTTTCTCATGCCCATGTTCATTGCGTTCAATCATCAATATATGAATACCATTAAGACAGAGGCGCGGGGTGAGTCTTCCACAGGCGATGACATGCATATGAACCTTATAATTGCTCCTGCATCTCCAGTGCTATGCGCCTCTGAAGTTTACCCTTTTTATGTATCTTCCGTTCGTATGCCCCGGATTTGGCGTCATTGTTCAAGTCCTTGCACAGTTAACCTCAACAATTGACATCTCTTTTGGTTCAGCAACACCTGCTTCAGCGAGAGTGGTCATCGAAAATATCGCTGACTTTGTCTTCATTCCAATTTCGCATTGCCACATTGTGGGCCACTTCGAGTCAGCCCTGTTTACTCGATTGAGTTTATTTCTGTGCTTACATATGTTGATGTGATTCTACACAAAGGATTCAGGTTGGAGATTTTTTACTCGTCAACCAATCACTTCTTCTAATTGTGAAGGTATCATTCCTCGTCAGTAGAGAGTGAGTGTGTGTAGTTAAGATATTTCTGGATAAGTTACCTGTAAGTTGCAGACTTGGCCGTGGAAGTTTTGACTGCAAGTACAACACGAGAGTTTGCAAATTGAGAGTTATGTACCTTGAAGTGCTGGATGTACATTGGAAGCTTCAATAGTCAATGGAGATTAATTGCGAAGATTTGTCTTTCATATTCTTCGGTATAAGCTTGTCCCTTCAACATGAACACCTGGGGTTTGTGACGTTTTGAGTAACATGTTTTGGGACGCTCAGGATGTCAAAAGGTACTCTACCTTCGAGGAAATGTTGGAAATAGAGGGATTAAGTTCTGTGCTGCCAGAAGTTACAACTATCAAGGAAGGTAGGTTGTCAAAATTCCACTTTTATCAGTGTATTCTTCTCTTTCAATTCTTGAATTTGTCCTATGGTGGACGACTGTTTTCATTTGAGGGTTCACGTGTGGAGGTTTCCTAGCTGCCAGAACTTTTCCTTGTTAGGACAGAATCTCCCGGCCCTACACGGAGTGTATCATATCGATCGTTTGTGTGCTACCCCTATAAGACGAAAACAACATCACCTCAACAGCAACCTTTCCTTCAAAAATGCCTTGGAAGTGGTCCGTTGGTGGACAAGCTCTCCTAACAGATTGTTTCTCCAGGTGTGCAAGTGTACCGTAAATTTTACTCAGAAGCAAGAGAAAAGGAAGCTGGAGTTGTGGGTATTCATGTCCAGCATCGCGTGAATCCAAGACAACCTTTTGAGTTACTCTATGATATTCTGAAGGTGAGTATACAGTATGATGCTTCATATGAATATAGTGTCGTCTGAAGTTTTCGAGTGAGCACTGTTTCTTCTTGTACAGTTGCATATCATGCGGATGGTTAGTGTTTCTAACATCCTGCGTATGGAGTTTCTGAGCAGGCTTGCTTCCTCTACTCTCGTTTAGATTCTTGAGTCTTATTTTGTTAGAGATTGGTCTATCAAGGTCATTCTGAGCATTTGAAATAAAGTACTTTCTGATTCCCGAGAATGTACATTTGCAAGGCAGTCCTGATGTGATGATTCTGAAGCAACCCCATGTTTTGTAGGAGCTACATGTAGAAGGTATAAGGGCCTTGTTAGGGATGCGTTCAACTATGGGCTCAATTACCGACACCCTTCCTCCTCCGACTTCAATGCTTCTGTCAGCGTTCTCAATAGTAAATAACGAAACTGTAAGTTAATATTTCCAGGTTGTGGAGTGTTGGTAGTCTCCTGATTGATGCTTTGATGAGCATTTGTCGTCAGCTGTTCTTGATGGTTGTCCTTCCCGTTTGTAATTGGAGGTGCCAGGCAGTAAACTGACTGTGGGAGCAAGGGCTTTGTCCAAACACGTCCACCGATGTAGTAATGGATGGTGGGGGATGTTTACAGGAAGCGGTATGTACATCGCTTGTAAGCTTAGCTCAGCATTTTATGACTTCATGTAGTCTGGAGAGTTCTTTCCTCAGTGTACTTTTCATGGTAAAACCGTGAGCTATATACTTAAGATGTGCAGCAACAATGATTACATGCAACGTAGGTCTCGACAATTTCTCGCGTTTGCTTAGAACGATTTGCATTTAATTTATTTCTGATGAAGGAATCTCAAATCTTACACCTGCCGTTTGTATTTCTGAGATATGCACAAGGCTTATCGATTCAATTCGATCAATTGATGTACTCTAAAATGTGGAGACAACTTTACCTCACTGACATTGCAGAGCCTGCTAAGAATGAACTTTCATTCCTAAAACTTCAAAATATGATTGAGGATGCCATATGGATGAACGTGCATGTCGTTCCGGTTCCTGTTTTCGAAATTCGGGTAAGAGGCGGATACGGAGCCCGCTGGTCACTGGATGGTAGTCAGGTATGTGCCTTTGTTTCGTTCTATAGAATGAGAACTGTGTATGTTGTGTTTTGTGCTGAGTTTAGAACTTGCTCCTGCTCTCATGGCCTCATTCGACATTGTTGGTCCAGTTTCGAGGCTTTCTGGAGCCTCCCATGGAAGAAGGGTATCTTCACAAGTGGAGACACTAGGCATACTGGTCCTCATAGTAGGCAGTCACAGCTAAGATGAAATCTTTCGACCGTTGGGTTGTCTTGCTGTGTCTCTTGATACGCCCCTCGGGTACTCATGGACGATAAGTTCAATTTCGGTCATACATAATGGGAACGGCAGGTGAAAGTTGGACATTTGAAGCAAGAACATATAATCAGCTCAGGTAGAATGTGGAAGTTCTTACTGGAATAGGTTTTTTGGACTGGCTTCATAACATGCTGCTCATAGTAGAGTTAGAGAAGCTTGTGTTTTGCTGGAGCCTTTATTAGTTTAAGCATCCAAACCACCAATTAATGTTCTTGGCTCACTCTTCTCGAAATGCATCAATGGGCTTATTTGAGTCGTACAAATGTACATCTGCATGGAAACAGGCATAGAGTGAAGTCCACTCATCATTGTGAGCACGGGGCTCTGGCCGCAGAGAATACAGGCTTCCATGGACTTTTCCTTCTTGAAACCTCATCAAATGAAAATTCTGCTATGTTTTTGTTTTTGCCATAACCAGAAACTACGAAACATCTTCAACATCAATGACGAAGAAGCTATTGCAAAGCCCAGCATTCAATGCACCTTCAGGAAACTTTATCGATTTTATGAGCGGGAACTACAACAGACTGAACTGCTTTCTACAAGGCAATAAATGGGGGACTCTTGGTGTCATGCTGGTACTGGAGATGCTTTAGTACCTGTTATAGAAACCGTCATCTGTACTCCGACTTGTCGATAAGCCTTTGAAAGGATGACATGTATCCAGACTTCGCACGTTTCCATCATATTATCGAAATGAGAAACGCACGTATCGATCAGATATTGGACAACACCATTTACTCGAGTACTCCGTCTGATACCGAGAACTCGGTTAACTTGATGTTTTCCGTTCAACGAGAATCCATTTCACCATGTACATCGTGACTAAGAATGTGAGTGTGCGACTCCTTCTCAGCCAGGTCTCCAAACTCAAAGTTGCAGAGTATGTTCAAGGGTTGTGTATCCGTTGCATCTTTCAAGTACATTCAAACCTGGGTGCGTACAGGATTGCGGTAGCAAATTACAGATCCGTGTAACTGCACAACACCCATTATTTCCCAATTAGGAGATCAAGAGAGATGTATTAATAGCAATTGTGAGCCGTGCAAGAAGAGTTGCAGTTCTTTTATCCAGAATAAAATTGGGAATTTACATTTGGACTATCAACTGCACTAACCCTTCGAGAATTGCAGCAGGTGAATTTGTGTGCCAAGAGTGACCAGCTCATGAATCAGCAAGGAGATGTCCTCACTGTAAGACGGAAGCAGTGACTCTAACTTAGGTTGAGTGAGTCATGGACAACTGCAATGAGTTGATTTACTCTCATGGAATCATACAGTTTAATCGAAAAGTCGTTGGAGGTTAGACTTCGCCACTTTTTAACGGTATGAAACATCAAGGAATGTTCTATACATTATTTGGCTCTAAAAGGTTCCCCCACGCCAATGCAGTCAGTAAAAAATTTTCGTATGAAAACAACCAACCAACCAACCGGGAGCTGAGAAATTTCAATCACCGCATCCAAATTTCATGTAAATATTGAAGAACTTTGAGAAGAAGTGAGAGTTTCTAATACTTGTTATGCGAGAAATTTACTTGATGATATCCATAGTAACACAAATTATTGGATACATCAAGTTTCGTTTTACGATGGTACCCCACTTACGGCCATGTCACCCATGTTCTTTTATCAACCCGCAGGCGACCGACCAAGAGTAGCGTGCAGTTGCACAGTATGACGAGGAGGAGGACAAAGGAGCTGGAGCGGAGGATGAGGGCAGGCCGCGGATATAAACAACAATTTTTTCAATGATAACTTTTGAAAGTTGAAAAGAACTTTCAATTGCTCACGCACAAATCAAGCATTTGCATGTCCATCGAGAATAAACAACTTCAAAAATTTAAACTGCTGGCCAGTTCGTCATGTGAAACTTTCAGGCCGTCGACGGCCAAGTAGACTTGCTTCTGCCGAGCATGGCATTCAGGGTCACATCGCAAGTGAGACGAGTGCTCACTCTTAGAAATGTTACCAACATTGTAATCCTCACAAACTCAATCGCAACTGATCTCTCGTCTCCATCATCACGAGCTTGCTGACACAAGCCTATGATGATGTCACTGGCTTGTATCACTCTTCACTTCATCCTTGTGAGTAATCCTTATGAATACTGTTGTGAAAAGGAAACTCAAAGAACTAAATATCGAGACAAATGAAACAATGAACATGCCTACTTCGTATCTGAGTCGACACAGCTCCTGAATACTCTCAAAGTATCATATAGTGATGAGTTCGGAGTATATTACAACCCCACATTTATATGGGACTTTTAGGTTTGACGTAAACCCTCTTTGATCCTATATCAATAGAGACAGTCGGTCAGACCTCTTGACAGTTCTTAGGATTAAGGTAAATCCTCTCTATTAATAGGAACAATTGCTGGGTTATCTTAACACTCCTCTAATGATGAACTCCCTCATTAAAATACTTCAAGAAGATTGAAGAAAAAGAGTGAATTCATCGTTCGCTTTCTAATTCAACTATTGTCTAGAAGTTTTGATGAAGTCTGCATCCCTGCTACGGCTATGAGTTTTTGATGATGCGGAGCTGGTAATGCCTTACTAAGTATATCCGCGATGTTCTCCGCTGAAGCTATCTTTCGCATTGCAATCTGGCTCGTCTCCGTGAGACCCTGTGTGTAGCTGATCAAGTGACTACTGATATGCTTGACGTGATCTGACTTGATGAAACCAAAAGATACTTGCTCAATACAAAATGCATTATCTTCAAAAATTGTTGTTCGCTTCTCTTGGAGTGAAAATCCAGCCATCTTAGATATAGCGGTATGCATGGTGCAAAGCCACACTGCTTCGCGGGTTGACTCGTGAAACGCAAGGAGCTCAGCATGATTCGTTGAAGTTGCAGTGACTGTTTGTTTCGTGGATCTCCAACATATGAAAGCTCAATTTTTATGAAGATGTAGCATGTTTGGGACTTGCCAGGCGTTGTATTTGATTTGTATTCAAAGTCGGCATAGCCTATAATATTAGCTGTGAATACCAATGTCTCGGCAAAAATGAAGACCAAGATCTTTTGTTCCTCGAATGTACTTGAGAAGCTGTTTGATGTCTTGGCAGTGCCGTGCTGTGGGGCGTTGGCTGTGACAGGCGAGGACGTTGACAGCAAAACTGATGTCGGGTCGAGTATTTGTTGCCAAGTAAAGGAGTGCGCCAACTGCTGCTAGATACTTCGGTTGGTCCAACTACTCCTGCCCGAGTTCAGCAAGACGATATGGACTATCGTCAGTCTTGCTCCTCCCTATTATAGATGTTGATAGAGCATTTCCGTTTTCCATGTTGAACGTCTTGAGAAGCTTGCGAGCACAAGTTTGTTAATGAAGAATCATACTTCCATCTACAAGATGAGTAATCTAGAATCCAAGGCAATACGATATTTTGCTTAACAGTTTCATCTCAAACTGTTTAGTCAGTATGAGTTCAACACGCTTGCTCAATGCTTGTACTCCAATACTGTTCAAGTCATCGACATAAACAACTAAGATCACAAATTGTTTATCTTCCTTCAAAACAAAGATGCAAGGTAGAGCAGGATGCTTTTAAAAGCCATTCAAAATCAAATAGAACTTCAAGTGATGATATCATGCTCTTCCGGCTTGTTTCAAGCCATAGAGTCCCTTCCGGATAGAGCCCGTGAAAATGTCCTGGTTGGATTGGTGGCAAGCTTTGCACAAACTCTAATGGAGGTTTGATATGAAGATCTGTGTCCAAGTCTCCGTAGAGATATGCAATGACAACATCTATGAGGCGTGTTTCAAGTGAAAGTTGAACTCTAGGCTTAAGAGATAGTAGAATGAAGTACAGTTCATGACAAGGGAATATGTTTGGTTGAAATCAATGTCTGGTTTCTGAGAATATCCTTGTGCAACTAGTTGTACCTTGTAACAAATTACGTTTCTGTGTTCGTCACGTTTTCTAATGAATATAAGTTTGTGACCTATGGGTTTGACGGTAAGATCTATTACAAGTGACCTAAATACTGAACGCTTGCAAAGGGATTGGTAGTCGGCCTATAATGCATTTTTCCATTGTGGCCAATCTGGTCTCTTCCTAGCTTGATCTAAAGTAATAGGGTCAAAATCAAAACTAGTAAGACTGATTACAAGTGACTAAGAAATTGACCAAGGAACTGATGGTTCCTCGGGTTGTTCTACTATGAGTGTTGCTTGAGTATTAGTCTTACGTTTCTTGGGTATTGATGCGGGCACGAGGTTTCCTGACCCAAGTAGTGGGTTTTGGAGTATTTTAGGTTAGGACTGAAATCCGTCAGGGAGCTTTTCGGCTAGGTTTTGCAAGTCTAGAAGTTTTCTAACCTCACAATTTGTAAGTGTTGTTTGTGGATCCGGCTTTAAGGTGAGAGTCTCTTGGGCAAAGTTCTATATGGTTGGAGTGTCTAGCACCGGAAAAACGAGTTTCTATGAATTTGCAGTTCTGAAATCTAGCTTTGTAAACATCATCTCTATCGGGTAACTTGTATCAAATAATACTGAGGGAGTCAAATCCAAGATATAAACCTTTGATTCTATGGGGTTTTATGGGTTTTATCTTTGGATTTGCAATAGGTATCCAAATCTCACAACTAAAGGTTCGGAGGTATGCTATATGCGAGACTCAGTCGGATGTTAATTCTAGTGAAGTCTGAGTATGGAGTAAGATAGGTCTAAGACGTAAAAGAACGGCGGCGTGAAGGTCAGCATTATCCCAATAAGAAGGTGGAAGTTTAGCATGAAAAAGGAGGGATTGGACTATGAGCTAAATTTTCTTAATAAAAGCTTCGGCTAGACCATTCTAACTATGCTCATAAGGAGCGGAATAAGTAAGTTCTATTCTTGTCGCTTCGCAATAGTTCTCAAATGCTTGGGATTTAAATTCAAGTACGTTGTACATTCTAAGGAATTGAATTGGATGGTCAGGATAATGGTTTCTAAATTTTAATAGCATCGCTAAGGTCTTGAAAAATATCATGTTTCTAGTGGTAAGAAGAGAAATCTCAGCATGATGTCCGGATGCATCAACAAGGACCAAAAAAAATTGAACTGACTTCATGTTGGACTGATTGGGCCACATCAATCACCTTGAAGACGTTGCAATGGTGCAGACATTTCCTCCGATAGTTTCCAAGTAGAAGATCATTTGATCAATTTCCCTTGAATGTATGCTGGGCATTCTTGAACATGCTCGGCGTCGCTAGTGCACATCTCGTGGCCGGTGAGGAGTGGTATCATCCTCCTCATCATAGTGATTCCAGAGTGCCCCAGTCGGCTATGCCACAAATCCGCTCTAACGTTTGTTGTCATGAGGGATGTGGAGTCACCTTTACATGATAGTCTCGGTCGCGTAGTGCGAGCAGTGTTCTCTTCCTTACCCGATTGGGCTAGGCCACGCATAGGCAAGTTGACTCTTCCTTGCACCCGTATGGATGGGATTAATTCGCGAGATTAGAATATCATATAGGCCTATTATTCTCGCTTTAACCGTGGCAAGAATCGCCGTTCCACGCCTGAGTTGAAGTATCTCTTCACCACACTCCATCGCCGTGGAGGTATGGATATGATTGGCATGTAGATCCCGGGGGACGCCTGGGGCGTACATTGCCCGTTCGCAGGTGAGCGATGCCTCTCTGGCCAAGATTGTTGTTGCCCGGCCCTCAAGGAATATCAAATTTTGCATTCCTAAGATTGTGAGTGTCACAAGATTGCCACGATTTGTTTTGAATTTGGTACTCAAAGCAAGTCTTGTCTTTGAAAATCAAAACGGTGGAGGCACTATCAAGGAGCGCATTATTGTACTTGTTGATAGTATCATGACGCGTTACTATATATTTTTCAGGATATAACTCTGTAAATGTGAAAGAGGGCGCATCTACAATGTGAGACTCTCGTGGTGTAACTTTCAAAAATTGAAGGTCTTGATACATGTCACATTTGTACTTGCTAGCGTGACAATTGCGTGCCCGATGACTAGGTCTACTACACTTATGACAACTACCCTTGATCTGAGGATACAACAGTGACTGAGACTCATAAGGTTTGTTGTCATACCGCTGATACTTGTTGGACGTGTTATGCCTACAATTTTCTCGTGGCGTAAGTTTTGATGCAATAGGAACTAGCTATCTATAGCTAGTTTTGTTGTTGATGTTAAATATATATATATATATACCCTCAAGGTTTCTACTTTGTATTGTTTGCATGCAATTGTAAGTAATCTCTCTCTTATGTTCCATCAGTGGAAGTAGTACTTTGATGGCGGAACCACGTTAAATGTCTCTCTTTTATTTCTGAATGTGTCATTTGATTTACTTGTATCATATCATACTCAAGTTGAAATTTTTAATTATTAATTTTTAATTCAAATATTTTCAAAATGTGTATGCAACCAAAATATATAGCACGTAAGAGATTAGACAAAAAAAATGTGTTCTATTTAATTAGATTAAATCCACATGAACATAGTTTTGTTCTCATTCATTATTCTTAATTATATCATAGTATTTTTAATTATATCATAAACAATTTCTGCAACAACATAATTTTTCAGAAGCCTTATAATCATCTTATTGACTCCAAATGAGCATCTAGATTTCAAATTTGCTCTTCATCTTTAAATAAAAAGAAGGAAGTTTTTATTATCAAAAATATTCTCCGTTTGAAATGTTATGAGTAGTTCATTTTTTTATAATGTGTAATTCTTTATTTAATATTAATATGTAAATTGTGCATATTGATTCATCAAAATTTATTTATTTAAAAATTAAGTTGTCTTGTAGCATTATTATGTACATTGTATGATATTGTCTTCAATTTGTTTGATATATCATCGTGTTTTTTAACCAGTTTGTGTTTTTAGATCCAATAATCAAATTTAAAATATTCTCATGATATAACATGCAAAGAAAGAATTAGATTGCAGGTACATTTAGTCAAATTACAATCTAAAAAACAATAATATAATAAGTACTCAAAACGTGTGATGTATTCATTTCAAATAATTTTTTGTTGCAAATTTGATCTAACAAGACATAACAAAACTGATAAAATAGATTACAACATGTGATTTGTACAATCATTTCTCAAACTTCATATAATTATAATGAATAAAAAAGTACAGTAAAATTGAAAAAAACAAGATCATAAATTTTTTTTTAATTTGTGTAATTTTTATATAACTAGAACTTAAATATTTTTTGAAAAATAACACTTATTGTTTTCAGCTAAATTTGCTGAGCTTCCAAATCTAAACATGACGTGATTATAACATTTCGAAAATTCAACTCTCCTTGAAATTGTTGTCAATGTGAATAATGTATGAATTTTTTACTTATTAAAAAATTAAATGATACTACAAAACGCAAAGCTGATTAGTGATGAAAACTTATTTTAAATAAAAAATCAGATCTAAATTTATAAATATGATTGATACACATGAAAAGATATTATAAATTTTGAGTTAATGTAGTGATTAGATGTGGAATTTGTACAAAATTAAAGGAAAATTGAAAATATGAATTGGAATGGTACACGTAATGAGTTCTGCTGGATGTAAGGAAAACAAACGAGGCTAATGCGCCAATGCCGAATCAGCGATTGGTGATGTCAGCAGCAACGTTCTTCTCAGAATTCAAAAAATTGGTTCCCTCCATTGTCAAAAGCTATCAGAGGAGCCCTAGCCTTGTGTGCAGAGCAAGGTTCAGACTGGCTGCTGGCGACATGACAGTGTAGAGCAGGAGATCATGGAATGTCGTATTACGTAGAAAAAGGCAGTTCCTGTAAATCAGCACCTGAAGTCGAAATGCAAGATCTCGGTGGTTGGCAGCAAAAATCATTGGGCTCGAATTGTGAGTGGTTTTTTGTTTGTTTACTCCTTTTTTCACCAGACAATATCGGGAAGCGATGAATTTGTAACACAGTACCCTGGATTAGCCGTAGATTTGAACCGAATATGCACTATGCTGCAAACTGAAGGACCGACTTTATGTTTGTTAAATGTAGACTTCTTATTGCAATTTCGTCTAGCAGTAACTTGTTGGGATCTTTTAGGCTCTGCTTGAGTTTTTCTGTTTGATTGTTGTAGGAGTTTGTTCTCGAATGTGGTTTGTTATTCGATGGGGTATCTGAGGGCTGATCGTGCGCGATCCACTGGCTGGCCCATCATATGCCGCTTTTCATTTATTGCAAAAGTCCCTGCATGGCGGAATTCTGATTGTTGTTATCCTCTGATGACCCGAGGCAGAAATTTGGTGGTTTAGCAGAGAGAACATTCCACTTTGATTGGCGTTGTTCTTGACGAGACGATCGATGGAGCGTGAGCGCCGCGATCCAAGGAAGGACGATCCTTCGAAGAGGGAAAAACAAGCCCTGCTGGCCAGTATCGCACAGCTGAGAGCTGCGAAAACTAACAGAACAATCGCAAGTTTGACTCCGCTGCCAGTATCAGATGACAGCGGGTCCGATAATGACAGGGACGGATTCCATTTAGGACTCAGAAATTCCGCTGCTGCAACCTCGTCTCGTGGTGCAAATTCGTTCCTTGATGACGCTTTGAGCAGCCTGGCTAGCTTATCAATTCAGGGCAGTGGCAAAACAAACGCTTCGAGTATTCTGAGGGATCGTCATTCTAACGCATATTCAACCCCAACAAATAAGGCATTTGATTCAAGCAAAGATAAGGAGAAATTTCGCACGCCGCCAGAACATTTTTCGAAGGAATATGTTTCACTATCTTCAGATGAAGATAACGATTTTCAGCCCATGTCGAGTAGATCCCGAGACAAAGCTCCTCTGGTGAACAATGCATCTAAGGATGTATTCAAGAGGCACGAAATGCAGAGAATTCACTCCGTGGATTCGTCCAAACAGCTTGACAGTACCAAAGAAGCTGACTTAGTTCTTAGTGACGGAAAGAAGACTTATTGTCTCTCTGGAATAGTTGCTCACAAGCTGTACAAGCATCAAGTGGAAGGGATTAAATGGTTGTGGTCACTCCATATAAAGAAAACAGGGGGAATTCTCGGTGATGACATGGGTCTTGGAAAAACCAGACAGGTATGAATCTTCTAACCTGTTAATGCTACGAGGTTGTATCTGGATGTACTTTGCCTCTCTAGTGTAGTTCATCCTTCAATTGTAAACGAATATCTTCATGCTCTATTCTTTAACATCTCTTCGACTCTGTAACAAGAAGCTTGGCACACCCAAAGACATCTCACTTTGGCTTTAAGGTAGTACGTGTATTGTCCCATGCGTGTTGGTTGTGAATTTTAATGCGGAAACTCTGACTTCGACTTCGGGTTGCATACTGACCATATTCCTTGTCGTTTGCCATCCAAAGATTGCGTCATTTCTTGCAGGACTGTTTTCTTCGAAGCTCATAAAGACAGCCATGATTGTAGCTCCAAAAACTCTCATCTCACACTGGACCAGGGAGCTGTCAGAAGTGGGGCTATCAAGAAAAACTTTCAAGTCAGTATCATCTCTTCTTCTGCTGCTTTTTTCAGTCCTGCAATAACACGTTTTCTTTCTTGACAAGCGTCCGTTCATTGAAAGGATCTAATTGAACCTGAAACTTTTACCCTCGGTAAAGTTATGGATTACACCGAGCTTCTTGCCTGTCTTCCAGTAAACAGCTGACCTGACTCTGTGTGACGTGATCAAACAGTTTTGCCGAAACTTCATCAAGAGCCCGCGATAGCGCTCTTCATGGACTCCTGCAGGTAGTCAAATATCGTCCCTTTGAAGATTCTGTATTCCTTGTTGACTTGGATATCTCAATCCCCTGAAGTCTGATATACTATTGATGAAACTACTAGTGCAGCAATGAGAAATAACTGTTCAGTTTTGTGACCGAAGATTTGACCTCTCACTGCCTGTTTCGGAAGGAAAGTTCAACACTTTACTGTTTAGTCGGTCCCCTTGTTTCCTTCGAAGTACGTATACCCGATGAGTTAGTGAATCGAGCGTACCGGTAATTTTATATTGGATGCTCTGATCGAAGGTATATTCGGCATTCTTGTTACTGACCTTCCGATCTTGTGGGCCATTTCTGAATTCTAAATTCCGAAACTTTGAGTTTGTATCTAGAGAAATTTGACTCCCAAATCAATACTGGCAGAGAGGAGGAGTTTTATTGACAACGTATGACATGGTACGCTGCAATTGGAGAGTTCTCCGGGGGGAAACACTCGAAGGAGATGAGTACGGTGGCAATGGCGATGAACCCTTACTGTGGGATTACCTCATACTGGATGAGGTACTGTAAGCAAGATGTACCAAATTGTGGCAGGGAGTTGTCAGTTATGGTGGAAGTATCCAAGGGTCAAAAATCTAGAAAGTGTTGTTGCTTCAAGTTCAGATGAAGTGTTTATATGGCTGCGCTAGCGCTAGTAGATCTTGTTGAATCTTCTGAACTAAAACCTCGTAGTTTGTGTCTTCGTGAAATTTCCCATGGAGCAGGGTCACCTTATAAAAAACCCCTCTACGGAGAGAGCAAAGAGTTTAAGGGAGATATCAAGCTCTCATCGAGTTATCTTGAGTGGTACTCCAATTCAGAACCATCTGAAGGTAATCATAAACATATAGAGCCAAATGGTACAAATTTCTCCTCTTCTTTCACTGCGTAGGACATTGTCTGCTGCAGTCACCACCTGCTTTGTGAGAGTCGTCAACCATTTGTGCCAATGAAGTTCAAAGAAGATAAGGACTCGGCAAGTGTTGCTGTTAAGAAGTTCTACGAGGCAGAGAAAGCGAAGCATATACACGGGGAAACAAGCCAATATTTTGGACCCGTATTATATCCCATGAAAAAGAAAAGCTCAGGCCTGGTTAAAATTTTGGATACATGAAGTCCAGCGTGCCAGAGTTTTCATCGTGTACCGATATGCTCAAGTATGAAAGAGGTCTGCGAAAGAAGTAGCAACGGCGTTCGCATGAACTGGCCACATATGTAGAATCGAAGCTACAGTTTTGGTTGCCTCGCGCAATGCGTTGATTATCCGTCCGCATGACTGGAAATAGCAATTAATTGCCGTAGGAGCTGATAAAAAAATTATTTACCTGAGTCACCATCATCAAAACTGATATTGAATTTACAATTATCTGTTTTGTTACAGGAAATGTGGGCTTTATTTGACTTCTGCTGTCCAAACCTTCTGGGTGACAAAGCTGAGTTAGTGCCTAAACTCACTTCCGCTATCATGGCCACTCAAGCTCTTGGTATTTTGTGGTATACATGCCTCGTGTTGTAAAGTAGATAGTCGTGTCTCATCTCTGAGCTTCAAAGCCATCATGCATGCAGGTTCAAGGCAAAGTATGAAAGCAGAATCGTAGCTGCAAATGATAAATCTTCGTCTGACAGATCAAAGAGGCTCGGTGCAGCCGCTGCGCAGGTACTGGAACCCGTCCTCGCCCAAAGTAATCTATTAAATTCAGTGCAACCTATCCGAGCACAAACTTACATCTGCCGTGTTTTGGCAGGAGTTGAGACAACGAATTGCACCATTTTTCCTCCGCCGTCTGAAAAGTGAAGTTTTCCCTGAAGAAGGCAGTGACGACGCACCAAAGCTTTCACACAAAAATGATTTAATTGTGTGGCTGCAGCTGACCAACCGCCAGGTTTTACTCTAACGCTCTGGATTGTTCCTCCAGTTCAGTAACTCGTTCATAGTATTCTTCTGAACGTCAACGGCTGGGTGCAAGTTTCCAGTATCGATATCCTTAGATTGGTTTAGTGCATTGTTGCATGATCATGCCACGATTCGAATTTTAAATCAAAAAACGTAGACCTGGACTCGTCTACATATAGACTATTAATAATAAGTGGTTGGATTGGTGATCGCTCTTTACGTTCGACAGGAAAAACTGTACAGAGCATTTCTGGAAAGTGAAGCCGTGCTGAACGCCCTGGATGGCTCTAAAGCCCTGACTGCTTTGTCGGTGAGAAAGTCTCCCTAAATATGCACTCAGGGATTACTCCAAATTCAGTTAACGCAGGTCCCGGTTCTTTTAGCTTGCGAGAGCATATAGAACTCTGTTCATATGGACCTAAAGTTGATATATTTTTCTTAATTCGGACCAAATTGTGCTCACTTTAGACCTCAATCAGGACAACTTACGTTTTAGAAAGAGAATTTGAGATTTATCTCAGAAGCCAGTGGCAACTGGTATTGTATTCAGGTTATGAAAAAGATTTGCGATCATCCTTCTCTTCTCACGCAAAGAGCTGCGGATGATATTGCCGAAGGAATGGAGGGTATGATGGGAAACACGGACCCTGCAGACGCAGAAGCCATGACAGCAGCTCTAGCTGGATTAGTTGAGAATGATGTGGGCTTCAGGCAAATTCAGGGTGCTGTTTCTTGCAAGATTGCGTTCCTCATACTATTGCTGGTGAGAAACTAACCTCCGTTCTTCAACATAACATACAGATTTGTTGAGGTTTGCAAATACCTGTTTTAAATACAATATCGTTTGTTCGCCAACGAGGTTTTTTGAGCTCTTGAGCAGCCATTTTTTTGTTGTGAAGTCTTCTGTGCTTAGCTACGTAGATACTACGTGATGCTGTCCGCACTTGTACAGGAAAAGCTCGTGGAAGAAGGTCATCGAACTCTCATCTTTTCACAAACTAGGAAAATGCTGAACATCATTCAGGTCAGTGGGGAGAATGAAACTCGGAATTGGATTTATATTATTTACTTATTATATATCGAAGACTATGCCAACATAAAAAAGCTAGAACAAACATAGTTTGAAATGTCCAGAGTTCCACTACTTCATTCATGCTAGAGCCTTGGATATCCCTGGAAAAGGCTGTAGCGTAAACTTGTATAGTGCACGGATGAAACCTTCATAAGGAACATATATGTAGTTGTTTTGTGTTCCATCAAGAGATTTGAGTAGATACTGCTCTTGTCCAATTTTCTTGTCATTGAGTCCGCTCGAGGCCATATATTGAAGGTGTAATGGCTTGAGACGATTGATATCTTCACATACATTTAACTTTTTGAAATGTTGCAGGAAGAAATAGAGAATAGAAAATGGAGATACCGACGAATTGATGGCACAATGAAATCTTGTGACAGGGAGCAGTGTGTACAAGTGTGTACTCTTTTCTCTACCTCCAGTACACTGTACAACTTCGAGGCATATCTTGTCATGAGTGATAGACTGTAGCGGTTCATAGAGTCGAACCCTTAAAGCATGTTTGCTAGATTCATGATTCGTTAATCTTGTATCTAATCCGAGCATCGTCCGCCTGAAACAGGACTTTCAAACAGATCCGTACATACCCCTTTTCTTGTTAACATCACAGGTGGGGGGCTTGGGCCTGACACTTACGTCAGCTGATCGAGTGGTCATTGTGGACCCTGCTTGGAATCCAAGGTTTGTGAGGGTTCTGCTGCTGCCATCGGTGTACAAGACCCTTGGCGATACAATTCTCCACCTTAGACTACTAAATATGACATTCAAGTCGTAGTACAAGCACCAAACTTCATATCGATGTCGAATGATGATGATGATTGGTGTGAGTCTGCACTTGGTTTTCATGCGATCATTCACCTTGTGCTGTTTCTGTACGCAGTACTGATAATCAAAGTGTTGACCGAGCCTACCGTATCGGTCAGAAGAAAAATGTCATTGTTTATCGTCTTATGACGTGTGGTACACTGGAGGAGAAAATCTACCGAAAGCAGGTTCGTTACGCTAGAGCTTGTAGAATATGGTGACATTGTAAATCAGCAACGCGGTTGAATGTATTAGCTGGTTTGGTTCGTTCCTACATTGGGCTCGCACATGCACTTTATGGATGCATTTGCATTTTGGTGTGGGAAACTCATATGGGCGTGTCTATGCAGGTTTTCAAGGGAGGACTCATGAAAACTGCTACTGAAACTAAGAATCAGATGCGCTACTTCTCACAGCAGGTCATTGTTTCAACTGGATTTTGATGTATTGGTTTGTATTGGTATCTTCCCATCGTTAGTTGATCGTCTAGTGCTTCACAGGATCAGGGCTAGAAGGAGATGAATCCAAGATATCATAGATGTCCTGCTGATTGATTTGTGAACTACCTTACAGGAACTTCACGATTTGTTTCGTGTGCCAGAGACTGGATTTCAGGTCTCTGTCACGCAGCGGCAAATGGCAGAAGAGCATGCGGGGGAACATCGGACGTACGTTTCTATTGTTTTCCTTCATCGATGTTTGTTCATGCTCACTTCGCTCTTCTGAAAACAATATTTTCTCAACGTTCTAGTTTACATTCATATCTTACTTCCAGACTGTCAACTACGTTTTGATAACTCAAAACGTTGTTGACAGTCTGGAATGAACCATTTCAGTTACAATCAGAACTCCTGAAGACGTGGCCAGATTATTTTCCCATGGAGCAGCTGTTAACAGTATTTGCCTCATAGCCTGGCTCAGCGGTGCGAGTGAATAAGGGCGAAGAAGACGAAGTGTGTGGGATGGAGGATGAAGAGTGAAGACTAATTGAGAGTGGTTTGGTCCCTCTTTTGGCGGGATTTGTCGCACAGATGAGGCTAGTTTGAAATTTCCAAGTGCCAGCCATGAAACTCTATAGTAGCCCATCTACCTTTATACATGTAAAGTATGTATCGTTCAAATTAGCAGCAGCATTCGGTTTTGAATCTGGACCAAGCAATTTTCAGAACATTTTCGGCTCGACTAGTCAAGCGACATGGTGGTATAAAGTTGCTCCCATGTTGTGTAAGGTGGTGCAGCTATCATATACATATTTTGGCCTCCCTAAACCCTGCAAGTGTCAGGAATATATTTCAATTTAATGGACACTTTCGAGGGCTCCATAGAATTGTGGACCTTAATTGCGAGGGAAGCCTATAGCAAAGACGGAACGTAAAGTTGAGTAGATGATAACAACTGGATGTAAACTAATACTTCGTACGGCAGAAAACTCAAAATTGAGTACGGGGTTTTACCCCTCCGCGTGTACACACATTCTCACTGAGGAGAATGAAGCTTCAGGATCAGGTTATCTTGGGAGTTCGGAAACACGGGCTGTATGATATGGAGAGAGCATTGCACTCCCCAGTCCGAATACATTGCCCAACTTGTGTGAAGGGCCCTTGACAAGTGGAGGGGTACATACAGTAGGCTTGCAGACTAGCGTCCAAAGATCATTGAGATGCAGAGGAAGTCCATAAACCCGGATGGTTCCGAATAAATCCATGGGAGATATCATCTGCTTTGTTACCCAAGTCAGTGCGAATCATAGAATTATCTACCAGGCAGTGAACAGGTCTCGACAGATCAGGGTAGAACTCATGTGGACATCTGAGCCACAAGTGTTCACTGAATCTGGAGCAATTGTCAAGTGTCTGAGTTCTTATGACTAATCTGCGACTAATCATTCTCTTTGTACTCTGGTTCAGGGATAAGGATTTAGAAGAACACATTCGCTACTTAGAGGGGTTGAGTATGATCGCTGGTGTTAGCCACCATGATCTTCTCTACTCCAAAGCTGCGCCGGAGCTCCCACCCGCACAGGATGATGAGGACGACGCTAAGGCGCAATGGGAGCCAAGGTACCTCTCGTTCTTAACGTAGAAGAAGCTCCTCCCCTGACACCTTCTATACCATCAAAACAATTTGCTTTGAGCAGATTGGGTTCCTGATGCCTTGCATTCAACTGTCATCCAGAGCAACTGCTTACCCTACTCGAAAGCCCTACAAGCCCTCAATAGAATCATACGTATGGGAGCAGACTGAGGAGTTGTCGACAAGCTCGAGGTAAGCTTTTACTGTGTATCTTGGTCATTGCTTGGTTTTCAGAGTTCTGGTGATAATTGATCCGAACATTTTTCATGGTTGACGACCCTGGGCTTATTCTTAAACAGCAGCGCATCACGCGGGTCAACAGAGAATCAAGTATCCGAGGAAGCGAAGCATGCATGGTTGCGCGCAAGTTACCTGAAAGATAAGATCAAGCGCATGGCTGCCGTGTTGGAGAACGAGGTACAAGTTGATGCAGTAATGAGCAAATTGTGTTTTACAGTCCAAATATGAAAGAAGCTCTCTTTACTGAGGTTGTAATGTTCCACGCCCATGCAATGATCGCGATCGTTTAGAGTGCTATAACAATTGGCCTCTTCTTTTTCAGGAGATGTCATCCAAGCTATCAGATGGTGGGATGAAAATCATCAGGAGGATCAAAGAACTCAACGATGAAGTAGCCAAACTTGAAGTCAAGGCTGCGCCATTCAAAGAAAACTTGGCCGCAAGGCGAAGTGATGGATCCTCGAGATCAGATGGCCCGACAGTTCAGGAAAAGACTCTATCCCAATCTCAAGGCCTCCATGAGCCAGTGGTGCGAGTGCGCAGTGCAAGCGGCAACAATATATACAACGCTGCTCGGAGTGGCACCGAACACCATAACAAGCCTCACTATCTCAACAAGAGCTCAGATCCTCGAGTGATTGACCTCGAGTCGAAATTAGGCAATTTAAGAGTTTAGTTGTGCACTCCGAACAATATAGTACCCGCCAGTTTCGATAATGCGTAGTGACTCTGAGACCGGAGGCTCTCAGGTAGAGGATCATCACCGCGCGTGATGGTAACGAGAAGCGACAGCCTGTACATGTGTATACCCAATTTTGAAGCTGTAAAATATTGAAGAAACTATCATTTTTCCCAAGTTTTGTGACCATTGAGAGTGTTGTGGAGGTAAGGACTCGAAAAAGCCCTGCCACTGTTTTCATTTCATTGGGACTTTCACTCTTTACCGTTTCACAGAAAATAATGAACCAGTGCACGATACAACAATCGTCGTACATGACATATACAAACATAATCCCCAAATGTCCAGTGCACATCGAAGCTCTTCCTACATGCCGCCAACCAAGGAAGTTGTTGAACGCAACGAGAATTGTGAAGATTAGTGCGAGAAAACCCTAAATTCGATCAGCCTGCTTTAGTTCCAGAGGAGTGGTGATGCTCTAGAGAGGCTTGCCACTGTGGCTTTGACAGAGAAGAAACTGAAGCCATGCCTGACTTTAACAAACTGTGGAACGAAAGGAGCAAATTCGTGAAGCACACAAAGAACGCAAGCCACTCTGGCGATATCACGTGATGAAGTTCGGGGACGCGAGCGTGGGACGAGGGAGGAAAAGCGCAGGACAAGGAAGAGCCTGTGAGGGCAGGGGCTCCTACCGGTCATGGTAACTGTCCATCTGGACACCGCAGACGATCGCAGTGCGAATGTATGATTAGTTGGCACTGATACGTGTCCTGTCAACACCGGCGCTCCACCTCGAAGACCATGGAAGCAGTGCGCTCGTGAGCTGAGAGCGCAGAGTGCGAGTCATTCATCCGACCTCGATTCCGCGCAGCCACAGGCGCGCTCCTCCGCTCACGCTCCGGCGAGCGTCACGAAGTTTTCTACAAGAGGTAAACTTGAGGAGTTACGTCTGAGTGAGCATCGATCCTTAAGAGAGAGAGCGAGAGAGGAGGGAGGAGATCTCATGGAGCACCTGAGCAATGCTGACACTGGAGGAGGGCAGGAAGACTACCAATCGCAGCAAAAGGTGCGTTGGTCTCTCCTGGTTAGAGTCCACATTTTTCTGGTGGATGAGGTGTCTGATTTCAGTTCTATTCGGTCCCGTAGGTGCTGCGGGTTTTCGCGGAGGGAAGATCTTAATTTTGCTCTGGTCTCTAGTGGTCTACTTTTTGGTTTACAGAGGTTTATGTCTATATACAGAAGTTTCGCTTTCGATTACTTCTTTTATTGTTTCTCGTCGTGAGTCCATTGGGGTCGCGGCTCTTAGATTATTTTCGTACCCCTGCACAGTCTAAGCGCTCACTCGAGTTTAATGGCCTTCCTGATGGCGGCGAGAAGTTGGTGACTGCTCTCTCTCAGGTTTGTAATTCGCGTCCTTGACGAAGCTGAGCTTTTTGTAAAGGAATTCAGTCCCGGAGGTGGAAGGACTCAATGTTTGTTGTTTTACTTCAAGTTGAGCTTAGTGATATTCACTCTTCTACAGCAGCTCGTTTCATTTCTCTGTAGATGCAGATTATTCGCCCACGGAATTAAATTAGCTCACCTGTTTTCGATGTTCGGACGTGAATGCCTCGAAAGGGAATCATATATTGCTTAGAGGGTCCAACACGTTCATTCTCTCCTCCGTTTGGATGTGGCGTATCAGTCGAACTGTGATGGCCTGTTGGAGATAAACCTTGAATTTGCGCAAGGTGTGGAAGATGAGCATATTTTATTGATTGCTGAGAAGGTACTTGCACAAACCACATTATGATGAACTCCGATATCCCGTTCCTTCAGGTTCTTGCGTTGAAAGGATGACTTGCCCAAGGTGTGGAGTCCTATTGTATCGCTTTTTTCAGTGATCGTCCTGTCTGTATAACTTTTGCCCGCACTTTGCCTACAACCCTGTGTTGAATACTGACATAGATCTGACGTTGCCTATCCAGGTTCACAGTCTGAAAAAGCTGAACTTAAACGCTTGTCAAAAGGTCACAGATGCCGGTATTTGTGCAGTAGCTAGTGCCAATCCCAATTTGGAGTCATTTTCCATCTACTGGAATCTGAAGTGGGTATTTTGTCCTTCTTGTAGTTCCAGTCGCTGCATTCAATGACATGGATCTCATAGCATCGTGAGTCGCTTGTAGACTGAAGGCATAACAGACATTATCCGCAATTTCCGATCGTTCCTCAACATTCAAGCTTTGGTGGATTGCAACATGCAAATTGTGAAGGTAATTCCCGTTGTTAACGGTTTCACTTTGTTAACACGAAAGTATTGTTCCTGTTTCTAGAGTTACAGACAGCGGTGTGGAGCATCTTGTTCGTGCATGTCCTCACCTTTCTGAACTCAATCTCAGTGGATGCAAGGTTCTTACCTCTCTTCCTTAACACTCTGTCCCGCGGACTCGTGCATGTTGTGTGATGTATGCGAAAATCACTGCATACCAGAAGTATCCAGTGTTTTTATATCGTCCTTCCATTCTATAAGCAGATTTTTTATCATTCTCCACTACGTTTTCAGTTGTTTTCGTACCCTAATTCTCTGTCAGGTAAGGTCTCCGCTTGGGTGGAAGCTGATCAAATCTTTTTTCCGTTAGTTATTGTACTGTGATGGAAATTTAATTTTGTATCATATCGTGTGGCTTGTGCTGCTAAAGAGTGTCACAGATAAAACTTTGTACATGGTGGCTGATCATTGTTCAAATATTCGATCCCTGAACTTAACTCGGTGGGTTTTGTATGGGCTGCCCTGTTTGTTATTTGCTTTTGTCTTGCCAATGTACAATGCATGCTGAGGGTTCTCAGATGTCAGTAGCCAACAAAATAGTCCTTTTACTCCCCTTACTCCCCTGAAAGTGTTGTGATATCTCTTCGGTTGCCCGACAAAATGTAGTTGGCATAAATGCCGTGCTTTTGGACTTACCAGTTTTGTAATGGTCCTAGGTGGATGTGGGAATTGCAGGTGTTTGAAGCTCACCGATGAAGGGCTGATCAAGCTGCTCACTTCTTGCGAGAATCTCACCGAATTGTACCTCTACGCGATACCGAAGTGTGTGCTTTGAAATAATTTCTCGTTTTCAATTCGGTGAAGCAGAATCGTCTGTTGTTTATATTGAGAATGTTTAGGTTCTCGGGCGAAGAGCTCTTTACACATGACAATCTACTTGTACTGTCTCTGAGGACATGTTGGAATTGTTGTCGACCTACGGAAGGACTGCTAAAGAGCTGCAACTGGAATGTCCGTAAACCTGGACGTTCTCGATTGAAGCTGACATGTTTAGGGTCTCTTATGTCTCCTTGTTTCGTGTGCCGCAGTTTCACCGATAAAGCGTACGAGAAGTTCTCAAACACACCTCGGCTGAAACTTCTTGATGTGTGTGGGGCACAGGTGGCTATATGTCAAACACGTCTGAGTATCTGTTGTTCCTGGTATTTTCAATTGGGTCTACTCGGTTCTAGTCACTCACAGCAAATGGAACATCAGGATATTTCCTCATCTTTCTCATCGCCCATTTTGGTTTTGGTCTGCAGTTCCTTTCAGATGTTGGGTTAGCAGGAATCGCGGAGTGCACATTGCTGGAATCTCTCAACCTCACCTGGTAAACGAAGATTTGATGATCAACATTTACAATCAAGATGCCCCCCATCTCTTCTCTATAATGTTCGCTGAGCTTTTTGAGCTCTGATTTAGCCGAGCTCTGCTTGAATGTACTACTTTAATTACTTTGCCTGATTCGTATCTGATGAATGCAGGTGTGTCCGAGTTACAGATATTGGACTCAAAGCTCTGGCTCAGCATTGCGTCTTTCTCGAGAGTCTTAGGTACGTGGTATGATATCCAACGGGGTGGCGTGAGTACTCATAAAGTCTTAGCATCTTGACTTCTGTATGAGAAATCGCCTCGATTAACCGGGATAATGCTATCACCTAGAATCGTGCTAAATTGACTTGATTTTCTTTATTTTCTCCAGTTTGCATGGTTTGCTAGGAGTCACCGATGATGGAATTGAGGAATTGTCCAAGTCATGTAAAGACACTCTCCACACTCTGGATGTCAACGGTTGTGTCAATATCAAGGTACAGTCTTTATGATTGATCTACCTGTCGCAGCAAGTGTTGTTCTAGTTTTCCTGGAAGTCTCGATATTCACGATACACCTATTTTATTCAAACTGCGCCTGTCCAGGCTTTCTTCCAGTAGAAAGGTCCTGTTTTGTAGCATATTTATTGTTGACGTTGTATATAGTGAATACTAGCTGCCATTGTTGAGATATTATACTGTATGACTGGCTATTGTTACCTTAATGCCAGGAGGGAATGATAATGGTATTGATATGGGTTTGCACTCGTCGTTCCTGCAGAGACGATCAAAGGATGAACTGCTGCAACTTTTCCCACTCTTGACCACTTTTGTTGTCCACACTTAGAAGTTTCATTTATTATATGGAAGGTTGATCTGTAGAAGGCATCATACAGTCCACACATCCCTCTATGAGGTTTGTAGACGTCAATGTAACGTGGACAGCTCACTGTTGGGTGTAGCGTAAACATACGAAATACAACCTACATGAAAGTTGTTGCACCGATTGTGGTTGTAACTTTACCAAAGGCTTGATGGTATTGTTTTCAGTGTGAAATGTTCTTTTTGCTTCGAAAGGACGATTTGTCAGTTTGAGAGAAAAAAGTTCTATGATACGTAGAAGGTCTATTGTCATTTCGAGAAAAGATACTGTGTATGATTTGATGTAATGAAAAGACTAATGAATAGGTGTAATGAATAGACTCGGCCTGGGCAATCCTCGTTTTCTAGGGAAGTTATCTACGATTGCGGTCAATACTCCATGTCGGCGATATTGCTTCGATCCTCCCCTCATGGAATGCTCCCTTCAGCACAAGGTTTCCAAATAACAATTGAATTTCCCGTTTGCTGTAATCTTCCAAGTTATTGATAATCGTTCATTCCGCGGACTTGAAACAAGATGTTAAGTAGAAACAGTGATATCCGGGCAGAACAAGTTAGATGAGTCACAGCCCAGGACATCCGAGTATCTCCTATGGATCGTGAACTGGTCATAGACAAGGCCATCGCTGCTCCTCTTGTACTCAATCAAAAGATTGTTGTAATTTGATGCCGTGAGTTTCACGAAGCCGTAATCACGGTCTTTGACTAGAGACCAGGAAGTGTTTAGAGAAGTAAAATCTGCCAAATGCGATCCACCTCCTCCAACAACCATGTGAATGGTGGCGTTGAACGTCCCAGAAAAGTGATCCTTCTCTTGGCTGGTGCAAATGTTCTGCAACATGCAACAACACAGGGGTAAGGAACTGTCTATAGCAGCTGCAGCTTCTGACTATGCTCAAGTAACGTAACGTCATTCGATGTAGCAAGAGCACAGATGTGATAGACCGGCTCCTGCCTCCACACAGAAGTAAAATACTCGTAATCTTACTTACACTGAAGACGGGGCAGGTCCGCTCGTAGTTGTGAATGTGGCCGGCTAAGGCAAGATCAACTCTGTATTTCTGCCACAGAATTTGCAAGTCGTCTCGTCCCCAGGGTTCGCCAAATGCGCCATTGAGCGCACCGTAGTAACCGGAGGAGTATCCCAGCACGCGATGGCTGACGAATATCAGCCATGGCTGTTGATGCCTGTTGACTGTTGCCATGCAGTTTTCCAGGAACGCATACTGCTCTGTCCCTTCTCGCCAATCGTGCTCTGAATCTGCGACGCAGAATCGGAACATTCCCCAGTCGCTTTTGTACCTGTATGCAAATACACCTTGGTTTAGTATTGTTAGTGAATGTGGATCTGATGCCTGATGAACATCAAACCATCAAATAGCTCTCCGAATGCAGACAGCGAGGTGTTCACAACTCATTATGTGGATGCAAATGTGCGGAGTGCAACTTCTCGTCTGTAACTGTTTCTTAAGCCACTCACCAGAACTTATCACCGTTCTCTGTGGGCATGTTAAAATAGGTTTGTGCTGGCACACCACATTCTCCTCCTGAATCGGTTGTATTGTAAAATCCACCTGACAAAGGCCACGATCGCTCGTGATTTCCGCTGTAACGATCCAAATAGACATTGTTAGCGATTTTAGGTAAAAAGACACGGAGAAGATCTACAGTTAAACACAGGATGGTTTCGAAGGTACTTGCATTCGCCCATGTGAATTCATTTTACACTGCCGGCTTCGACATAATCACTCTGATTTGGACTGGGGGGATGTTAGACGGGTATTTCACCTGGCCGACATGAGTGGTACTCTTGCCGACAAAGGTTCCACTTGCTCTATGAACTGATCCCACTGAGACAAATATCCATTGGAGTAACTGAGGTCACCGATTAAGAACACGAGGTCAAAGTTTTCAAGATCCTCGATCAGACGGTCGGTCGTGTTCAAGCAACCTGGCTGGTAGTTGGCGTACTCATTCGATCCATCACGTTCAGCCTGCGCTAAACCAGTGCATCAAAGAGGTGATTCAGTTTCTTTCACTCGGTTCGTTTTGAAAGATATATCCATCAATCTCGCATGCATTCTACTTACTGAACTGAGCTTATGTCTTCCAACTAATTTGTAGATGAGGTTCTCTGCAGAGGAAGAAGATTATGACTGTATCTGAACGCATAGTCATATTCGTCTTTAGTAGATTTCAGTCTTTGGATCGATTCATAGTTAAGAAGCTGATTCGAAGATCAGTGAGGAGTGCAGTTGAAGAAGTTGCAGAAGAGGACGTGCTTAATTTCATGAAGAGGTGTAGCGTCCTCACCTTTCCCATGTCACCGAAGACGATCACACGCTGCAGCGAGTTTTCTCCAGGAGAAGGTGGCGCTTTGAAGAAGCTGTGTCGACCCCAAACATAAGTGCCATCCTCATGCTTGTGACCCACCTGATAGAAGTACCTACACAGGGATCCAATTCCAGCTCATGTGAATTCCCCTCGGTAGATCTCAGAACTTATAATGCATCCGCAGACTTCAAATTGGGCTGCACTTACTGGCTGTTAAGAGTGGCCTCGACACTAGCAGACTCACTCCTATATACATTGACTTAAGGTCAACAATCGTAGATAATCATGTCCATTCTCAATCGTGTAGAAACGAGTGTCATGGTTTCATTCTCACTTTTGTTTGGGCCAAAGCTCCTTAAGATGGCAGGAGTGAATGTATCCTGGGTCTCGCCAACCGACGGTGCTTGCAGGAGGTCCTAACGGAAGCAGGACGGCACATGAGTCAACTCTATTCTCCATCCCCTCAGGTAAACTACCTTCCAGCCAACCAATACAAGGGCCAAAGTTCTTGTACAAAACTCAAGAAGCAACAATTGCATCAAATGCCGCTCTCGATTTCTCATTCTGCGGCTCAAGTTCTCGTGGTTCCGTCATGCACTTGCACTGTCAAATCTCAGGTGAGATGACAAGGTGCTTGCTGAGAGTGATTGCTCTGAGCAGGAGCAGCATGGCTAATTGGAAACATCAGGAAGGCCTGAGAGTTGGCACCTATGCAAGGGCAAGCACCTCAGCTGTTCAGATAGTTACTCTCATGCACGATCGGCCAGATAGAGGGCGTGGGTATGAATATCACCACAAATATCTTCTCGAGTGAAGGTGAGAGTCGAGGCCGGGGTGGTGTGGTTTGTGTCTCCATTGAGAATGCCCCAGACTACAAGAGGAGTCGCCTCCTCTATCGAGTATCCACTCGTCCAAGTCACCGAGATCTGCACAGCATGAGCCAAGAACAAGGTCCCCAACATGGAATTGAAAACTGGTTCTGCATCTTTCCAGCAGTTGCAATCAGAAACAGAAGAACCAAGTGAATTCCTTGATTTGACCTCAAAATCCTCATTTTCTTACTTTCATCCTACATTTTCATCACTCTCACCACTGAATGTCTAACCAATTTCAAACTAATTTTCAAAGGCAGAATACAACAGAAAACATAATAGTAGCCGAAGGCGGTGGTGAGCATTTCGAGCTCGAGTGCGGCTGTCATACACTTTCCTTCCCGAGATTATAATTATTGCGCCATCGTACCTCATTCCAATCGTAGCCTTGTGCCAGGCGCAGATAGCCCGGTGCTTTGGGGTTCCGGAACGAGACCTTGTTTGATACTGCTACCAGCACGGGCTGCGTCACAGCAAAGACCAGAGATTCAAATCACAGAAAAACACTTCAAAGGTCGGATAGCACGAGCCCAACAGTCAGCAACCAGGTTCCTTCTACTCTAAAATCTGTTGGGAATGGCAACAAGCACAAGGAAGAGCATGCACGCCAGACGCAGATGAAGGTAGAGGCCAAGAGGTGCAGACGTTGTAAATATCCCCGGTGAAAAATCCGAAGGCGAAGTCAGATCGCTGGTTGATCAGTCGAAATCTTAGCATTCCCTTGCCCGTGCTGCTGTAATCCGGATTCGAGAAGTTTGCATATGAGAACTACCTCCAAGGACGGACGAAAGAAGGCAACGGAGTCAGTCTGCCAACCAGTCAGCCATCGCACGACACACGACTGCATTGACCAAGGACAGTGAGCATTGTTACTGCAGCACCTGTGTACTCCTGAAAAAGAAGGCACGACATGGCAGAGCAGGCAAGGGCAAGGGACCTTAATTGGAGCTTGACAAATTTCGGGAGCCTCCCTTCCATCACAGGTTGATGAGGCACTGCAACCATAATATTCTGAGCATTCAGGACACTTGAGGCCAACTTTGCACCAACCCGAATTGGTAGAGTGGACCAGGAATGGCTTGGTCAACAAGCAAAGAAATGGACTAGCGCTGATTATAATCATGGTGCCCGCTGGCTGGCTGGCTGTGGAGTAAAATTCTCCGGCTTACGTTCCATTCGGCCGTTCTCCAAGTTACAAAGGACGACCAAGCTTGATCTATTTTAGCCCGAGTGCCTGAACGATAGGGGCAGCGAGCAGAACTTACTTGAAGTCGGCTGGCGAGAAAACAGCGACCCAATCGCCGTCACTAGCGCCAGAGAATTTCTGGAACTTGACAGTGACATAAGCTGCTGCTGAGCCGCCTGCAGATATAATCTGTACAAGAATGTGGTGCAGAAATGTGAGCTGCGTCTAAACGCGTGTCATTTTCTGTTCGAGCCAAACTGAGAACTGAGGAATGAAGCCACATCCACTGAGATGAAGATTCACCTCGCTGTCCAGAACATCAGGGGACGCTGAAATGCTGGCCACCAGAGGATCGAGCCGCATCAGAGTACGCTCGATCCCCAGATTTGCAAGCGGCTGATGAGGGTCCAGCGCAGCGGTGCGACCAGGCACGAGGAAGGAGAGTTGCAGAATCGTCACTCCCACCAGTAGAAGCAGATCCCATTGCATCTCGCTCCACATTCCTACCGGAGTCCAGGGAACAGTTTTCAAAGGAAGGTCCAGGCACCAGAAAGAATTTACTATCATGACAGGCCCTGAGACTCTTTGTTATGTAATTTAAGACCCAACTAAGTAAAACTGGGCCTACAAATTGAAAAAAGCGCATGGGGAGCACACTTTTGTACGGAATGCTTTTGACACATGATTGCACATCTGAGCAGTGCGATGCGGACCATGGAATCAAACCGTCCCGAAAGAGGAGCGGAGATTTTGAGCAACAAGCTGTAACAGTTGTGGGCATTGTAATTCTCCGCAGGTTGAGGAACGATATTTCACCTGATAATTCCAGATGTCTTCCTTTACGTCTGTCCGACCAGCGTCAGGTTGCTGCTACACATTCGATTTCCGGCAGCTGGTTTAAGCTTTCACTTCTGAGGATAATCGTCAGAATGAGACACAAAAACAGTAGAACCTCGAGTTTCTCGGTCGAGAAGGACGAGACGAGGAGTCCAATGACTGGATTGTGGAATTTTTCTTTCAAGTCCACGGCTTCGCCGCACTCGTCATCAATGAGGCAGTAGTGCTCTCTAGCTCGACTAGTTGCAATAAGTGGATCCTGACTGTAACAGGCCGATCACTCAGAAATTTTCTGATTCTTTTATGAGCCACTGGAGAGAAGTGTAACCATTCAGTCTTGTTTGTTTCTTCCTACTCAATCCTGCCTTTCAAAGCTGGAAAGAGATCAATCGATCTAAGTCTCGGAGGTTGAGTCAAGTTGTGCAGCCTTCACAGCTTCTATGTCTCGGTCTTTATCAGAGCTCACGTTTCTCCGTCCTCATCTGCCTCCGGGACTTCGCGTTATTCACTTCCACTGACTCTTGTGCAGCAAACTGGGAAGTTGCAGTGGATTTCTTCTGCACATTCTGTCGTTGAGAGGACCCTGGGATGAACGAAGAAGCGTGGCAGCTGCAAAGTGTCGTCATCGGGAGTCCTGTTGGTTGTTCAGCCGGCGAATGTCAGATGTGCCAATTTTTTCTTCTCAGCTACACTGCCTAATCCTTGACGAAAGCGTCCGGCAGGAAAAGTCAAAAAAGTTTTGCAGTTCAGGGTCGGCAGACCGGGCAAATCATTGTCGACAGGGTAAGGCATTGTCGGCATCTCAGATGCCTTATACCACCGAACAATGTGACCTTGCAGATGTCAACATCCATTGACTCTCGGGACAGTGTACGGCGTGATCTGCTGATACGTGAAACTTTAATTCTCGTCCCAGAGTGAAACTTTAATGTATGCCAGAAGTCAGGAACACGTACTCTCACTCTCGCAATCTCATATAACTAAAAGAAAATATCCTCTAAAATATCCACACTCGACAATAGTTTTTATGTAAAAAGGAATCAGTCGAACGTTTAATGGTGAAGTATACTTCGAGCCAAGTGACAAGTATCCTCAGAATTTGTGTCCTCATCTCCCACCGTCTGACTGCGGGTTCAAATAAGTGCACGTAACATCTAATTTCTGAACATGCATTTTTATAATTTGAACAGATTATCACTGGACGAGCAGGTTCTACCCAGAGTCCTTGCCACTCCTCTCTTCTCCAACCCATCGCAGTCCTCTGCTGTCAGCCAGTCTTCTTCTTTAGAACAGCCTGAATCATCTATCGGCTGATTGAGCATCTTATGGTTCTGCATACTATCTGTATCCATTCAATGTGATTCAATGCAGGGCAGCATGAGCACAGTAATCACCATGATATGTACGGTTTTGTGCTACTTTCTATTCCGTATCTTCTGAATCTGCTGGAATCCAACGATTTTGAAACACCTATTTGTATGAAGGTGAATTTTTGAATCTAAATCGTTGAGCTCGTAAGATTAGCACTCGCTGTCTTCTTCGATTGCCCAGTTTGCATTCTTCCAGTGGTTGTTCATATCTTCCTCAGTCTAGAGCGAGTTGCAGAAAGCTGTTGGAAACATAAATATGAATTCTCTATAACAACAACACTAACGTCTAGAATGTTCAATAAGTTCACTCGCTTGTATCAAGAGGCACTAATTAAGACAAGACTAGGAAAAGTCAATGAAGCTTTAGGATAAACTCTGACAAGTTAGATTTCGTTAATTGGCTGTCTTTGACTTAGTTTTGCTATTCCGCCGAATGAACTTTCGTGATTAGTGACAGTTAAAACTACTTTATGTACATAAATTGGTATATGATGTAAGTATACTTTTGTCAAGTTTTACTTTATATTTGAAGATTCAAAAAACTAAATCAATAAGAAAATATGTTGAAAAATAAACTCCTGAAATAGATCAAAGGTGGAGAAATACATTCCTGATGAGTTTTCAGCGATTCATGTTCAATGTACAGCGTTTTATCTAGATATTTGAGTTAGAGTAATTTTGTCCTTCTGATGTCTTTGAACCTAGTTTCATGTCAATATTTCAATTTGATCTTATTCATGTAAAATTTGATGAGGTTTTTTATTCCAGAAAGAAATCAATAGAAACTTTTCAATAAAATGCTATTCATTGATATATATCATACCACATATAAAAAATACAAATTATATAAATAAAAAATGTACATTGATGATAGAAACAAATGTAAATTTTCTAATACATATATTAGTGAGTAGTGTTATATGTAGAGTAAGACAATGATTAGATTCAATTAAACTACACAATAAACTAAGAAGAGTGATAACAAAGTGGAGAACGGGTGAGTAATATGTGGGCATTTTAATGTTTGAAATGTTATTTTGAAATATTGATACATAAAGATAATTTCTATATAATGTCTCAAAAACAAAAAAAGTAAATTTTGGTTTGCAATGGCAGGTTAGATAGAACCTGCCATTGTAAAAACTATTACTCATCAGCCACAGTTGGAGATAATTAGCTTCTAGCTAACACTCCCCACAACTTGAAATCAGCTAAATTGCTGATTCATCTCTCATTGCAGATAAATCAGGAATTAGAGGCATGACAGAGTGAGGGAATGATTATTCATGAGATATGCTTTTGATCTTGTAGCATTACGAAGTTGAAAGCACTATATGCAAATTTGAGTCTTAAATTTGAGCATGGACTAGACATTGTTGGCTGAGGTTTCCTCATCAGCGAAAGTTAACTCTAACAAAATACCTCATGCATAGAGTAGATAACGAATCACATATTAAAATTGCAAAAAAAAGCTTTTACATAATATTGAAACTATCCAACAGAGGACTGCCATAAACTGACTTTAAGATTAACACACAATGTAATGAGCATCACAGCTGGATCTAGAGGTTTCATTTCTACAAGATACAAGCCACTAAGCGATCGGGTTCGGAGATCAGCGCGCCCCTCCACATCCATTTGATGCGCAGGAGTACAAGAAGCAGAGAGTTCTCAAGCTTGGTTCAGTCGAGCACATGACATATGATCCGATTGAATATATGAGATTGAGGAATTGAATGTTTCGAATGAACTTTGAATCTCATGTCGGCTGCCTGGTTGCTCTAGGTGAGGCAATAGGTGGCCGGCCACGCATCCATGTTGTATGTACGTGCAGCCATGTCCATGATGAGGACAAGAACACTTTTGGCTAGATCAACCCCGACCTTATCCCATTCGGGTTGACGGCAAGGGTACACCGTTTGCGGGTCACCGTCACCCAGGGTTTCACCATCACCATAACCCAGGGTTTAGCATTTCGCGCGCTCACTCTCTTACTCGTCCGGAATGTTCGAGCGAGTTTTTTTGCAGTTCGACAAGCCTGTATCAGAAGAAGAAACCCCCGAAGTGCGAGTTTCTGGCTCGGGACAGTCAATTCCACCCGCACGTTTTGAACCGATTGCAGATCCATCTTCTGCAATCTAACCTTGTGTGGCATGAGGGATCAGAGAATTTATGATGATGTTAGAACAAGAGAAGCAGACAAGGAATTAAAACTTAAAAGACCATGGTATTGTCTTCTGTTCAAAGTTATCTTCACATCATAGAGGCTCGTGTATCTCCGTGATGATAGGAGCTCAATGTTCATAGGGATGATCTTAGGTGTGTATGAGTTAAAGTAAGTCCGAGACTGCACGTCGTCGGAAAAGAGAAGACAAAGGAGGTAATGATCATCGACCCGTGCATGTTTCACACGAAACACTCATGATGGTAAATTGAGCCAACATATGGTCGGGGACTCACGGTTGGCAGGTTGGTGATACCTCAACTCTGGGTTACTACTAATATCTATAGCTTTCAGACGTAATTCTCATTACTCTTGTTCACCTCTTTGGGTTTTGGCTCCGGGACAGTCAATTCCACTCGCAATTCTCGCGGAGATTTCAAATCAAAGACAAGGATCATTCGTTTTACTAAGTCATTTTCCAAGTTCCAGTTTCCAGGTTTCCGTTTTCCAAGTTTTATTGCTTGTGGAAAGTGCAGAGAAAGAGAGCCGACGTTGAAGTTCTGACCATTAATTTGTTTGCGCATTTCTCAGTTTGTAGTGTGGATCTCCTAACACGTGCAAGTCGCAGTTCTTCAAGTAAAACTGCATCTAACATGAATGGCCTGATTGAGTGTCAAACTATCAAACTATCAATGTTTATTTCAGTTTCAAATTATTTCATTTTTTTTTGGTTGTATAAATGAAGTTCAATGTATCTATGATTTTTCTTAAAAGATTCTATGATAAGGGTTTAGGCTGATGAATATGCTAATTGTGATTTTTTTTTAGGACATAGTTCATGTTAGGTTTTAGACATGGATATACCTCGATGCAGCTAGGAGCTGAAGGGAAGGAGAGGTGTCTATTGTCTGCACATTTCATCAGCTAGTTATTTAATTGTACAATGAGCTATTTGTATTATGGGGTACAAATAGAAAATTCTTATCTCTTTACTATGCATTCTTCTCAAATTCTTGTTTTGTTCAGGATTAAACCATTAGGAGACTACTACGTTATATACCACCACTGTAGGTTGGCAGCCATGACGCCGTTGATACAGCCAAACCGTAAAAATACTTTGTTGAAACACATTTTCACATTCTCAAATCCAAGATGAACTAAAAACACCGACTTTGAAGTAGAGGAATGGCAACATGTCATCTAGTCCAAGTTTTTGAAGAAAGGGTATAGAGTAATAGTTTAATGGGCAGATTTAGCATCTCACATGTCAACATACTCATGGATGAAGAGAACCTTAGATACTAGGTAGGAGATGGAAGTTAAGACTGAACGAACTAAGACATTGTATTCAGAGATTCTTAGATAGGATTTATTCAATTTTAGACAAAAGATGTAGCTATCTTCTACTTTATTTTCCCGTTATGGCTCCTCTTTGCCCATAAGGCACCCTTCTTTCATACAAGTGAATGTATAGGATGTAAGAACTATATTGGCTCTTTAGTGGATTCTATCTGACTTTCTTTTAGAAGAGTACATACAAGAATTGACACTTACTCTTTCAAGTTGTACCCATTGCGCATACCCTTGTCTTATTATTACTATATCATTGATAAAATAAGTCATGCATACCTTGACTCTTTGGGTCGGTGGAATTTCAATTGTTTCCTTATGTGGTCCGATCAAAGTGACAGGCCATTGCGGGAAATAATGTGGTCATCCAAAGCTTGCAGCTCATGAAAGTAATACAATATATGAACTCTTCTTTAGGGCCAGATTACAATTGGTTCTAGTGTTTTTATGTCAGGGTAGATCTGAACGGTAAGTGGCTGGATGCAATGACGGCATAAGTGATGCTGAGGTGAACGAGAGTCAATCTCAGCGAATTATCATCACTACTAACTCAAGATTTGCTTGCAGCGGTAGAAAAGTGACACTAAAGCGATGAAGTTAATGACTGCATCTCTCTAGCACAAAAGAGAAGCTCTGTAAAAATCATCATAATTTGCAAGTGAAGCTCTGAAGTGGAAAAAAATTGACGAGCCTTGATTCTACTATTTGTCTCATCATTTGTTTGATGCTTGGTTGGCTGGCTGCCTGCCTGCCTTTGAGCTGCTATCATGATGGACTTATGACACTATCCAAATAGCAGGGAGCATTTTTTGGGGGTGCTCGCGAGGTGTAAGATCAACGATATGATAAGAATTTAGGCTGATGAATATACTGATTATGATTTTTTTTGT